GCACAGAGGCCCGGCCACCGCGGCAACTGTTGCCAAGCGCTGCTCTCCCCAGCAACAAGCCAGTAATTGGTACCGTTAGCGGCTAACCTTGCGGAGGTGGTGGTGCGAGGTGGACTTGGACAAAAAGCTTTTTCATACGTACCCCCCTCTCCATCTCTTCCTCCTCCCTCAAGCCGCCGTCTAGCGCACGCTTTTTTTCTTTTCTATATTTTTGAATGCCTGTATTCTTGGCACGACCATCTCCTCTTTGGAAAACGATTGGACCGTCTTTAGAAGGAATCGATGAAAATGTGTCCAGACGCACGGCCCAGCTCAACCAGACATGAATTGATCATCAAAATATCAACATCATCATTTTGTAATGGAGTCTGCTGGTGCCTTGGGTGCGGGTTGGGGGGGGGTTGGGAATGCCAGATTGAAGAAAATGTTTCATTTCTGAAGTTTGTTTGCCCGTCTCCATAATGTAGAAGATCGAGTTGTTCTAACTACTGAAGGAAGACTTAAATGATCTCAATCCCTATCATATATTGAGTGTGATTCAGTTAAGATCACATTATAGCCATGCCCCTTCTCCCCGTCTCCGTCATGGTCCGTCATGGTCGCCGGCGAATGTGTTTCCACCACAGAAGTCGGCACACATCTCCACTCGCTCTCTGTTACTTCTTCCCTCAATCTCAATACCTCAGTGTTCAGGGTGGCAGCCTCGGACAAACTCCGCTAGTGCTCGTATAATTGCTTATTCAATGCTGACCACTGCTCGGTTTAGGATGGAGGAGGGGAGCGGAGAAGGAAAGGGGTGTGGGGGGGGGTGACTAGCTAGCCCTCCCTGTAGCTGCCAAGGCCCAAGTCAATGTGGAGCCTGTTTTTTCAGGATATAAGGGCCGACCGTGGGTCCCAAGCCAGGGCCCTTTCCTGTGGGCCCTCCTCCTCCTCCTCGTCTTCGTTCTCCTCCTTCATCCTCCACCCTCCTCTGAGCCCGGCTGGGCCTGGCGCTGGCACAGAGGTCCCTTTGTTGTGCACCCGAGGGCCGGTCTCTCTCTCTCTCTCTTTCCACAAGCCCCCTTTCTCCTCCTTCCCCTCCTCCTCTTTACCATCCCTCCCTTCCTCTCCCCCACCCCCTACTTCTTAAAAGGTCTCCAGGCCTCACAAAAATGAGATAATAGGAAAAATAGAGCTGGCCGCTTGTGGTGACTCAGGGCAAAACGTCTGGGTGAAAAAAATAGAAAGTGAGTGAGAGGAGAGAGGGACGGTATTGTTGGTTGGGGCGAGCTGCACTAAAATTCAGTGTCCTCCCATCTCTCTCTCTTCCTCTCCATCAGCTTCTGAACCACAAGCTCACTGTGGATCCAAAAGCTGCATCGGGGCTTGCTCTACACACACAGACACACACACAGACACACACACACTGTCTCCCTCCCTCTCGGCAGGTGGACGGGGTTGTTTTGGCTCGGCTGCAGGGCAGCAGCTTGACTCCGTTTGAGCCAATGAGCCAAGATAATAGTTGACGATTCCAGAGTTATTGTCAGTCCACCCCCCCCCCCTCTGTTTTTCCCAGAATCCCTTTCGCCGCCATGCGGGATCGGAGCCGGAACGCTACCCCCCTGATGAATTAGTGCACTTTCGTTTTTTAAAAGAGTTTCCAACGTGCCGCTTATTGTCAATATTGGGTTTAAATGTTTTATCCAATGTAAACATCCTTCAGCTTTAATAAGAAGCTGGAAAAAGCTGATACAGAATATAAATTAAATAAATATTCCGATTTTTCCGACCTTAGAGCTTCTGAAGTGTAAACACACACACTCCTTTACTGCGGCGTGCAGCTACCAACTTTAAATTCCTTTTATTTCCTTTTATTTCCTCACCCCTTCATTTATTGTGAAGGGGGAACCAGGATTGCCTTCTCGCCTACGTCCCGCCCTGCAAATATGCAGCCCACACCCCTGCCTGGGCACCAAACTCCCCCGCTTACCTCACATAACATAACCTGACACACAAACACACACATCCACGCGCCCTACGCGTCAGAAGAACAGGGAGTGGCTCCTCTTATTTTCATGGAAAGTGTTGTGCTGTCCTCCTTTTTATTATGTGATTTTTCGCTTGCCGTGTTTCCCTGCAACTGTCAAGCGGACTTTGGAAAAGAAAAATATGATACATATAAATAACTCCTGCCGGGTATAAAATCGGGCGAATCCCAACTGGGCTCAGGCGAATAAATCCTTCATTGTGAGAGAAGTGGAAAGAGTTGTTCCAGAGCTGATTTGCATCAGGCAACCTGTCATTGCGGCGCGGCGTGTCGGGCAGCGATGGCCGTGCCTCAGCTCCTGATACGAAGATGACAACGAGGAAATGGACTTGGGACTTGGAGGTATACAATCGCCCAAACAGCCATGTGACAGAGCCAGGGCGCCTTCCTGAGGTCACCTCTTCAGGATGCACACGCGTGTGGCTTGTGTTTATCACGGGTGACAGTGACGGGTTCATTTCTCATAGTGTTCACCACATCAATCAACATCTCACTAAAAGCTACAGCACGCCATCTCCTCCCCTCTCCTCTTCCCCCTTTTCCTCCCCTCCCCTCCTCCTTACCCATTTCCTCCCTTTTTTTTTTCTTCTCTCTTTTATTTTTTTGCCATCGGCCGCACAATGAAAGAGCCTCTTGGCTTTTATTAATAGTTAAAGTGGCCCCGGCCTGTCACTGGGGACAATAACTGCAGCCCTGTTAATAAATAAAAATAATAACTAGGAGATGGAGACCGAGAGCGAGTGCAATGGTAAGAGAACAGGCGACACTGCCATTTGTTGTTCCCTCTCACTTGTCAAAGCTCTTTGGCTTAAAAGCCTCTGTCATTGTTGAGGGAGAGGGGGGCTGCAGGCAGAGATGGGAGTGAGAGACATAGAGAGAGAGGGGGGGAGCGCCAGGGGCTAATAGCACCTGTTGGGGTGATGGTGAGACAGCTGTCAGTGGGGGGCTGAGGAGGGCAGTGGGGAGGGGAAGGCAGGAGCACACTCTCTCTTCCTCCCTACGCATGCAACGGATCCCTCCTCCGTCCACCTCCCAATAACCTATTCCCCGAAGGCTACGGCGGCCCCCGACAGAAAGCACCAGGGCCCACCAGGGCCCGACTGACTGGCTGAGTGGCAGCGGCGAAAAAAAAGGACAGACCAAGGACGGGGGAGGAATGGAAGGAGCCATAGGTGGACATCTTGATGTTCAACATTGATCTTCAGTCACATCTGCGTGTGTGTGTGTGTGCGTGTGTGTGTGTGTGTGTGTGTGTGTGTGCCCCTTTTAATCAACGAACCATGAGTTACTCTTGTCTTGATGCCTAAAGGAAAGGTCCTGATTCAGGCCTCTGGGGAGGCTGCAGGCACACACACGCACGCACACACACACTGAGGTAGAGTATGTAGGACGCGCTGCAGCGCTTGGCGGGTGTCTGAGCAGAGCTCGTATGGGGGCGTCCTTGTTTGTGCGTGTGATCATGTGTCGTTTAAAAATCCTAGAAATCTCCAGGTGGCTGCACATCCTCATCTCGCCGCGTTCACTCCATCGCAGACAGGAGAGGAAGAAAAAAGTAGATGGATGAAATGAAAAGAAAGGAGGAAGTTTAGGGGGAGGAGGTGGGGGGGGGGGTTGTATTTGGATGCCGGATAAAAAGTGTTGTGATTTGTTGTGGAGTGCGGCGGCGCGTACGCTCATGTCTCACTTAGTGGAGGAAAAGTGTTAAGCTGTTGAGCTCAACACGCTGGACATCTCCGTCTCTCCCTCCCTCCCTCTCACCGGGGGAGGCATTAGCGTGTGTCGGTGCGGGCAAGCTGTCTCATACCAGTGAGATTAAGACTTCTTTTTTTTTCATAAATCAGTCTTGTCATTATGGAACGGAGGGGGGGGGGGTAATAATCTGGGGGGGGCAAACAAACTTTCCTTGTGCCGTCAGCATCTGCAGCCGCACACAGACGGCGTGCTCTCACTGCAGTGTGCGTGCGTGCGTGCGTGCGTGCGTGTGTGTGTGTGTGTGTGTGTGTGTCTGCGTTTCTCGGAGGGTTTTGTGCATTCGAGCGCACCTGTTGGCTGATAGGGTTAATCTCCTCACTCAAAGTGTAAAACCTCCTTCCTTAGCAAGGCCTTGCATCCCGAGTGCAGATGGCTCCCAGTAAACACAGTTCTCTCTCTCTCTCTCACCCTCTTGCTTCACACTTTCAGTCCGCCTTTGTCTGATCATTTCATTCGCTCCCCTTTGTTCACATCAATAACAGTCAACAGGGCGACTGGCTTGATGGTCGCAATCGCCCAATTGTCAAGTGTGTGTGTGTGTGTGTGTGAGTGTGCGCGCGCGGCCCGCCTGCTATTAGCACATAGATGTGCACACATGTCTGAGTCCCAGCATGCGTGCGCTCTCTTCTGTGACATTTCCATTTCCCCCCACTGCGTGTGCATTTCTGTGTGTGTGTGTGTGTGTGTGCGCGCATGTGAGCGCGACCATAGTTAGGACCGTAATTAGTGTTCCTGTGTGCACGTGCGCGTGAGTGTGCACGGGTGTGTGCGTTGTGTGTGTGTGTGTTGAAAACAAAGCTGGGGCTGATAATGTGTCCATTGTGGCGGGTGCATTAAGGCCCTCTTTGTCTCAGGGCCCACAGGGCTAATGATTCTCTAGCAGCAGGTGAGAGGAAAAAAGCCTCTCTCTTTCTCGCCACTTGTCTCTCTCTCTTTATCTTGCGCTGCCTCTCTCGCTCTTTCCCTTTTGCTCACTTGTTTTTGTTCTTCATATTTCCTCTCTGTTTCGATTATCAGCTTCTCTCTCTCTCTCTCTCTCTCCCCCTCTCTCTCCTGCTGATGCGGCCATTAGGCTGAGCTGCCGCTGCCTTTATTACAGCAAATGGACTTTAAATGAGCTTTATTGTCATGTTTGCCAGCCAACTGAATCCCTCTCTCTCTCTTTCCTCCCCCTACCCCCCCCCCCCCCCCACAACCCCTCCCGCCCCTTCCCCCGAAACAGAGGCCCCCAGCATTGAGAGGCTGTTGTCAAAGGACTGGAAGGATAAACTTTTGGCCATGGGCTCAGGGCACATCGGAGAAATTAAAGGTATGGTAAAAGAAAATATTGACAGAACTAAACTTAGATTCATTTCAATTAACCCTTCAAACTTAATAAGATGCACCTCCGATGTCCATTGAGTGAAAATAAAATCCAAAAATGAAATCCGTTCATCTACTGAGCAACCTCTAAAAATGACCTTGCCGCTTAATCAAAAGGGATCACGGTAGTTGTGGTCCGCATCCATGGTTACACTGCAGAACTGCTAGTAGCTAATGCAACAAGACTGTTTGTACTGCAGAGTCTGTCAAAAATCAAAATGACACACAGTATGGTTAAAAAACAAACAAGGGTCAGGCGAAGCCCATGGACGACTCACCTGACTCCACGGCAACAACGGGACATCCGGCACGAGGGGAAACCAGAGCAAAAAGTCACAAACCAAAGGAAACCAACAGACGTTTTGCAGCAGGTTACGTTATTCGCCAGTATTAAGCCTCAGAACATCTCTATGATGTTTATCTTGGAACCCAGCCTGAAAATAACAATAAATCACGCCTATAAAACGCGATTCAAGTGAGTGGAAGCCCAGGAAACACGGCCTGGGTTCCAGTCTAAACGGAACCGGCATTTGCCAGAATCGGCTGAACTGAACTCAAATCGTTCAGCCTGCCCCTGAACTGAACCGAGCGGCCCACGTGAAACGGCCCGTGGCATCCCGCGCTAGTCCACTGTCCGCACCGGGAGAGCGAGGGGCCGACGGAGGGCGCGGGAGCAGAGAGAAAGAGCTCGGCTGCTACTCCCTGTAACTCCAGGGCACAGCCGCTCCTCCGGTTATTGAGCGTCATTAGGAAGCAAAGCAATATGTAATCAAAGAACCTCGCGGAGCGGCGTGGCCGTCCAGAAGGTACTGAGGGCGGGGGGGGGCCTCAATTGATCAAACCCCCTTTTTCCCAGCTCCCTGCCGCGCTGACATTTCTGTGTAGGGGCGTCCCGCGTGGCGCAATGCACACACACACACACACACACACACACACCAACAGCTGGGTAGCCACATCAGGAGTATGAATGAGTGTACAGTCGGGTCTGTGAGTGTGTGTGTGTGTGTGTGTGTGTGCGTGTGCTTACGTAACAACTTGCGTGTCTATTAACGTTTACTTGCCGCTGTTGTTGTAGGGTAAAAAGGAGATGTGTATGGAGTTGTCATATTTGTGTGTGTGTGTGTGTCTCATTTGTCAGTGCTTCCCTCAACTTTTTTTTCCCCCATCGAATACCATTGAAGAGCTTTTTGTGAGGGAACAAAGTGATTTTGAGCCACCGCCTCCTGCTCAGTCGGCCTTATTGAGAAGCGACGTTGGTAAAAAGGCCCCGTGCGGTTCACTTAGCAAAACACACACATTCTGTACACACACACACAAGTCCCCACAGTTATTAACCAGATCTACAGCACAGAGTGACGTGAGAGTCATCTGTTAAGCTCTTGAATTGAGTCTCATAAAGTTTATTGTATCTGCCTGTTCATCGGAAAATATTCAAACCAAAGACCCGTGAGTGTCCATTCCATCACTCTGAAACATCCCGTGTGTCTTTTGTTTCATTTTAAAGTCTTTTTTCCTCAAACCAAGAGTGTGTTGTTCTGGTTTGAATGCAGCCCTGATCCCCAACATGAGCGGCTTAACAGCAGTTATAGGTAAATTAACTGAGTAAGATCCTGTCTGTAGTGAAACCAATCAAGGTAACTTGATTTACTGAAACCATGTAAGTGCTTTCATCCAACTTTAGTTGTATTACCTTAATGTAAAGTGGACTATTTACAGTAATCATGTCCATGTAAATATACTTCCAGGCTGCTTCACTCTCCACTCTCACACCCTTCCCTCACCCTCTTCTCTCCTCCCCCATCATATCTTATCCATCTCGCCCTTCCATCGCCCCTCATCCCGCCTTACCGATCGGGGGTGTAGGGGGAGGGCGGAGGGGGGGGGTGATTACACCTGGGGTCATTAATTAGCCCCACGAGTGCGGTGACAGGTATCCCGCCGTTACAAATTGCTTAATTACACCACGCACGACGGCAGGTGTGTGTGTGTGTGTGTGTGTGTGAGTCGACGTGGGCTCGGCAGGCTGCTCAGTAGGCGCGGGGGGGGGGCGAGGGTGTGTGTGTGTGAAACCGATGGAGGAAACCAGTTATCGATCCGCATGCCTTTCCCGCAGCAGCGGAGGAAACAAGCCGCCGCCGGCTGATTTATGGGACGGAACCATCAACGGTCTGCATGGGGGAGAGTGAGGAGGAGGGGGGGGGGGGAAAGAAAGCTCCTCATGCCCACGAAAGGAGAGTTTTTCTCAACTCTCCCTCAGTTGGGAAGCGTGCTGTTGTCTTAGATTGTGTTTTCCTTCTGCAAATACTGTGGTTTATTGATGAAGGGTCCAGCTGAGGGGGGGGGGCAGCTTGAAGAATAGACGGGCCTGTCTTTTCACACACCTCACTATCCCGCTCGGAGGAATGCCCCCCCCACCTCGACGTACACACGCTTTGCAAAGATATTTGACTGTGTTTGCGTTTGTGCACGTGCGTATTTTCTTTCTACGGGGGGGGTTAACCCCGGCAAGAGCCCCCTACAAGAAAGAGTCCTTTGATCCATCGTTTCACCTTCGCACCCCCCCCCTTATCCTTTTTTTTTTTTTTTCTTCCCTCGTTTCTCCCCACCCGTCCCCCACCCATTTGAACAGGCTAACGTAACACAAGGCTCTTTCTTGTCTTGGTCAACTCTGGCTTTACACACACACACACACACACACACACACACATACACACATTTCTGGCCCTACAAAGGTGGGTCTGTGAGTTAGGACAGCGACGTGTTTATTTTTCCAGCGGCCAGCGCTCCGACAGTGCCTTATTGTTCATGTCGGCGGATGGAGGGAGTTTGGGGGAAATGAGGAGGCGGAGAAGGGGAGTGTGTTGGTGGCAGCAGAGACGGGTGAGACCGTTGGTGGGGGGTGAGCCGGTGGATACCACATAGAGGACAAATGGATGCCTCTCACCTTCCCGCGCAGTCAAAGGGTGGGTCAGCAGCGGGGGCTCTTCGCCCCCCCCCGACACCCCGCGACACCCCCCCCCACCCCCCCGTCCTGCGCTCTTTCTTTTCCTCTCTGCTTCCCCCTCTTTCTCTCATCGCCCTAACCCTCTCTTTCTCATCTGGTTTGACTGGTGCAGGAATGTGGCACTGGTAAAGGTAGCAGCTGAAGAACAATGGGGGATTGTGCTACGCCACATATGCACACACACACACACACACACACACACACACACACACACACACACACACACACACACACACACACACACACACACACACAAAAAGGCATGTAGCACATACATATGACCAGACATGGGCACACACACTCGTACTGATTGTGCCTCAGTGTGCCTCTTTCTAACTACATCCTGTTGAATGATTTAGGCCGTGTGTGTGTGTGTGTGTGTGTGTGTGCGCATGTTTTGTGTGTGTATGTGTGTGTGTGTGTAATGGAGCTCGTATGTCAGGATCTGAGAGGTCAAAGTTCAGGCCATGCTAAATGTGAGCAGGAGGTTGGCTGACTGCAGGGTAAACACAGACCAGACACACTCGCCTGTTCTTTTCTTTTTTTTTTCTTCTGTCTCTCTTTCACTCACACTCGCGCACACACAGTCACAAATGTGGACTGATCTCCGCATTTACCCCTAATTCAGTCAAATCTATTTAGATTTGATGTGAGCTTTACCTATGAACTGCACTTTTTTGATCCGGTGTAAGATTTATTTGGTCCGTTGAACACATTGATCTCTTTTCTTTTCTATTCAGTAAAGCAACAAAGGCAGCGATGGATTCATCTTGACTCTTGAGTAATCACTGCTGGCCGTCTGTGCCCAGAAAAATAAGTCAACATCTGGTTTTAGAACTCGGCACCTAAACACACCTTCCGCCGACGAGCCCCCCCCCCCATCCCAGCACACCGCCCAAATCCCCTTAACAGCCATATATTAGGTTGACCAACAAGCCATGGAGAGCATTACACTGCTTTGTTGTTCCTTCCTTCTCTGTTCCTCCCCTCCATGCCTCTGACCTCTGACCTCACCCCAGTGACCCTTCCTGCCCTGCGGGTAACCATGAAAGCCGTTCAGAGACAAAGAAGAACACACCGTGACACAACAGCTTTTTTTTTGTTCCTGTTGCCCTCACATCTTATATTTATGTCTTCATTCAAGCAGTCATTATCGCCGATCACTACTGTGCATGAAATGAGAGAAAAAATGTCCTATCTGTATCTGATCACCTAGACACCATAAAAACCTTTTAGAGGATGAAAGATGTTTCACAGCGCAACCTCAACCGAGTCTCACGCTTTCCTTCAAAGGGCTACCCTCTCACCTTTGACCCCTCTCCCCCACCTCCTTTCCTCGACCTGCAGGTACCGCGGACAGCCTGGCGGAGAAGGAGCGCCAACTCATGGGCATGATCGGCCAGTTGAGCAGCCTGAGGGAGCAGCTCCTGGCGGCCCACGAGGAGCAGAAGAAGCTGGCCGCCTCGCAGATGGAGAAGCAGAGGCAGCAGATGGAGCTGGCCAAGCAGCAGCAGGACCAGGTATGTGTACGGAGGCGCGCTGTGCGTGATGGGACGTGCTTGTGTGTCCGCCGCAGAGCCCATCCATCCCCACAGGTCACTGAGTGCAACTTCAGTTCTCAGGAGAAGCATTTCCACCACTTCCAGTCACTCGTCTGATCTTTAGATATGTTGATTCTTTCGGTGCTACGATTTCCCTCCACATAGTTATGTATCTTACTCCACAGTAACTGTTCAAGTCAGGAGACTTGAGTGGACGCACAAATGCACACACATGCATACAGGCGCGTAAGCATCATCGCAGATCCTCATGCAGATTTTTGAGCATGGCTAAAGACGCTCTCGCTCTCTCTTCCCCTCACACACACACGCATACACACCTGTATAGTGTTTGCACAGCTAGATACATGCGCCTTTGGCAGCTGGAAAACAGGGACAGTGCACAAGAATAAGCTGAGGGTATGTATTGTTGGAGCGGATGTAGCTCACACACACACACACACACACACTCGCTCCAAGCTCCCAGGTGATAGAGTTCCAGGTATTTGCATAGAGAAGCGTTTCCCCCCTATGTTGCAAAACGAAGGGCAAGCTTCAGAAGGAAGTAAAATGATCATTTCAGAGAATGTGTTCATGTCAGTGAGTTGTGTTGCTGTTACACTGTTGTCCACTTGGCTGTAAGTCCAGATGAGCTGAGCTCTTTAATATTTCATTCATAGGGCATCGACCCTCTGTCGTGCAACTGGGGTCTCGGAGACCTGCAGATGTGTTGCGTCTCCCACAGGCCGTGCACACGCAGCACAACAACACGCACACACATAATTCATATACATTCCAATAATGTGTTGTGTTCTCCATCCTTAGATTGCCCGGCAACAGCAGCAGCTTCTGCAGCAACAACACAAAATCAACCTCCTGCAGCAACAAATCCAGGTGAGGCCAGTTTATGTGTGAGTGTGTGTGTGAGCGTGTGCGTGTGTGTGTGTGTGTGTGTGTGTGTGTGTGGGCGTGTGTGTGTGTCCATCCACGCATGTAGCCATGTGTATGTATCTGTCAAAGTGTTTGGTTGATGTGCCCTGAAGTGCGTGTATATGACCCACAAAGGCGCTTTTGTGATTGTGATTGTTGCAGCTTTTCTTTGCTCAGCCATCAGTGTTTGATGAATCAGCCTGAATCAGCGTTGACTTGAATTTGCTGCTCCACCTCTAACACATAAACATATATAAATATATATATATATATAACACATATAAACAACCAACGTTTGTAATCATTGCAATGTGGTCAGTTTGAAAAAAATACGGTATGTTCATTTTAAATATTCACCACCTGAGGATGCAGTGAAGTACACGTTTCTCCTGTTTCTTGCATTGTGTCTTTGAGTGGCTGCAGAGGTGTTTTCACAGGCCGAGCAGTAGAAAGCCTCCGTTTTACAAACTCAAACTACGGCAACTAAGTCAGTAGAGTAGCCAAAAAAAAGGTCGGGAAGAAGAACATCATTATTACCCATCCAGACCAAGCATACACCTTTCTTAAATAGAGCTTATGTTTCACTCTGATTTATGTCAGTCGCCTGACATCTACAAGAGACTCATCCGTTCTTCAGGATATACTTAAAGGCTTGTCTTGCAAATTTAATAATGCAGATTGTAGCCGATATAGCAATAAAGCAAATCTACAAAATCAACTGAAAAGTCACTTTGAATGCGAATCTGTGTCTTATGCTTGAGAGAAAATGGGTGGGTATATATGTAGCACTTGAAAAAGGAGGTATTGTCCTTTTGGGTGCTACACTGGAGCCTCTATGTTGGTCCAGGTGGCTTGGAACGAATAGCCCAGGCCTTTGTAAAAGCAGATGACACTGAATTTTGAGCTGAGAAAGCCGGGCTTTGTATCATAAAGAGACACCCTGTCCAAGAGGGAACACACACACACACACACATTCCCTTTCTCCCCTCAAGAGTTTAACTATACACAGTTTGTGTGATAAGAGACCTTGTGATAGCATGCGTTTGGGACATGTGTCCACGATTCTGTGCAAAGCAGCTGTGTTTATTTGCTTTGTGTTAGTGAAATTCGGAATTGTTTGCGTTTTTTCTTCGCCGACAACAAAAAACAAGAAAATAAAAGAGAATAAGTTGAGGATCACTGTGCATTCTCGAGCGCCCCGCTTCTTCGTCCGTGCATACGGAGCCGTGCTCGCGTCCCGCCGCAGCTGTGTGTGTCAGGCCATAAACACGTCCGCTCATGATTCACTCCCTCGCGACCCCGCCGAAACAAAGCACTCTTTTCCCATGACTTTGCAACCTTTTCCCAAACAAGCGTCTCTCCATTGAGCGGGCCCAACAATAGTTTCTCACAAGCCGGGGCAGCTGTGGGCAGCCCTCGTTAAGAGCGGGACGCAATCGACGGGGGCCCAACGCAGCGCAGAAAAAACAAACCCTCCCCCACCGCCTCACACGGACACGTTCTCGCGTATCACGCGCGGATCAAAAATGGCCGCGACCGCGGACAAACGTGAAGGACGAGAAAAAAAATATATAACTGCACGCCTTCCGTGGACCAGCGAGCAAGTATCGCCAGCAGTCACACAGAGAGCGGGCGCACACTCGCCACTGATGATCAAACACACACTCAATCATCAAAGACTTGGTCGAGAAATACACTGCTTAATCATTCATGAAGAGATTGTCCGCACAATCCCACAATACAATGGCCTGCCAGAGAGAGGGCACCAGGTTCGGTGTGTGTGTGTGTGTCTGTATGATAAGCCCCTTGTGATTGCATTTCCCCCTAACGAGGCTGAGTTCAGCTGTCCCTTCGTGTGTGTGTGTGTTTGTGTGTCTGCGTCCTTGGCTTTGTTAGGCCCTAGCCCCCCAAAGGCCTGTGAAGAATGCTTTCAACCGTCCACTTGGAAGAGGTGATGAAATGAAACGAATAATCAAGCCCATGAAAAAGAGAGCAGAGTGACACACATCCCTCATGAAAGGAGGACAAATTATTTATTGTCCCCGCGTCCGGTTTTCCTATTTACAAAAAAAAAATTTCCTTCTCAACCCTCGAAAAACCAAACCAAGCCAGCAATATGCGCGTTGGCGTCCGCCATTCAGGCCAACGGCGCTCGCTGAATGTGGTGCGAGCCGACAAACGAGTTCATTTACAGAGGCAGGCATGGCAGCGGCACAACTAATGACACACAGTGTGAGCAGGACACACACACACACACACACCAGTCATTAGTGTCTACAAGTCAGGGATTGGTTATTTTATCGTTCTGGCTAATTCTTTCTCCCGGGAATTATACATGAATTATCATCGATTTTGGTGCAGGCATGTCCCCCCCCCCCCCCCCCTCCATACACACACACACATTCATGTTTTACCTTTTCACGGAGCTTTAATTCTGTTTAACCCTCTTGAACCTAAACTAAACCTAACCTTTAGCCTGACTAAACCTCTAGGAGTCCTGACCCTGAAGTATCACTACACCAACCCAATCCCTTCAGTCTTAAACCTAAACCTGGTAAATATGCTGTCCGCTTGCATAACATTGGGCTCCATCTGAGGGTATAGCAAATGTTGCTCTCTGAAGAATTACAAAACAAGAACCTGTGTGCGCATAGAGACACAGACAGACACACACACACTACCCCCCGCTAGGGGCCATCTTGTTAAGCTCAAAGAGGTGAGCGCATTTCCTCGAGCTTCCCTTTTGCCTTGGCCCTCGGCTTCTCTCGTTCTAATTAAACAACTTGTCTCAGAGGCTCCCCCCGGTGTTGCCCGGGACGACCGCTGCCGCCCGCACGGGGAGGCGCGACGGGGATGAAAGGAGCTCACCTGCCGAGCGGCTCAGGGCTTACCTTGAGAACGCGCTCATATTCATGGAACAGAGGCAGCGCGCTCACACGGGATGTATATGGAAAACCGAGGGATGAGCGGACACCAGTGTGGGCTGCCTAATGAATCCAACCAAAACACACACACACACAGTGTGTCTCTGCAGGCTGTCTGTCATCTCATCACGCGCCACCGCTTGCTATAGGTGGGAGACGGCGAGCGCGGACGGAGAAGAGGTGTCTAGAAAATGAGTAAAGCCACCTGATGCTTTGACGAGTTTAAGAGAGACCCGACGGGCCGCCGGCTAACGAGCTCTCTATTAAGACTAACCCGCATCGGTAACTTAATCACACCGACACACACACACATCCTGCGAGTGTTACACCTGATGCGGTCACGAGCGCAGGCCTTTCAAAAAAAAAAAAAAGTCAATCCTGTGGGGGTCATAAACAAAAGGATAAAACCCTGAAAAGCTTTTCATTCACTTCCACGCGCGCACACACACCACACCAGCACCTCTGTGCTCTGTGCACGGGAGCGGCTCACCCAATTGCCTGTGTAATTGTTTAATCACTCCCATTACACCGCGACCGGTGTAATTTGTGTTTTTCTTAACGCACTTCATGTGTCAATGCACGCACACGTAAACACGCACACGCACAGTTATAATCTGGACCATAACGGAGCAGCCATTCCCACAGAGAACCGCCGTCTCTCCCAGGCCTTCTCTCTAGTGCCCTCACACACACACACACACACACACACACACACACCTATATGTGAGTGAGTGTGTGTGTGCAGCCATTGCGGTGCCAGTGGGACATGCACCATGCCCCTACACTGACAGCAGGCTGGCCCCTAACAGCCCCTGTCCTTAGAGAGCTAATGGAGCAACATTAAAAGCCAGCTATTTCTCTCTCCCTCATTCCGCCTCTCTCTCTATTTCCAAATTAATTATCGGTTCTGTCGCTTGCACGTCTCTTCTTTAGCAATAGGTCACCCGGGTTTCGCATTAATTGCCCGAGCATATGGTCGCCAACAGATTTTAGCTGTGGGACTCGCACTTAAGCGGGGCCTATTTTGTTTTTTCCTCCTCCTTCCGTTTTTTTTTTTTCTCCGTCACGTGCGCAGGTCTACGGCGCGAGCCATATTGTGCGGCGCTGGCAGCTATTGTTCGGCGCATTCACTTCATAGAGCTAATTACTCCCCAATAATAACTTTACCTTGGAGTTTTTAGCGCGCCGCGTGCCAACGAACCTGTTTCGCACCCCATATGTTAATTAGCGGCCACATCTTCATTATGCCGCAGCGGCGCTTTAAGTTCAAGCTGTGCCGCCTGGCGCGTGGTGAACGCCGCCTCGACTCGCTGCCAATTATCCCACTCCTGCTCCCCTCTCTCCGTCTCTCCTCCTGGCGCTCCTTCTCCCTCGCTCGCTGAGAAGTTCCCTCTCCGGGGCGAATCCGCCACTTCTCTCTTTCCTGTCGTTTTTGCCCCCTGTGGAAGTTCTTAAGAACAAAAAGTTTCAAATGTTTTCCCGATATATGCATACAATTCCCTTTCCAATCCCTATATTTATTCTTTGTTTTGCATTCAGTCATCACTGATTAGAGGCTTTTTTTTACTTTCAGATAAGCTGCAGCTTTGTTTGTTTCAGGTCTCTTTTTTGGATCTGGAGGAGGGTTTTGCGGATTAAAAGCGCAGCTCCTCATCCTCCAAGTCGGCAGCCGACCGTAGCGGCAGTGTGATGTTTCGTCTGCGTGTGTTGTAGGTTTTCATGTTCGCTTTGGGCCTGATGTGAGAGAGGAGCTGACGAGTGCGTTATTCCCCAAAGCGCCTGCTGTTTCAGATGTGCCTTTTTCCTTTATGTGGAATCTGGAGATTTTCTGATAGATCTGGCCTCGCTCGCACTTTCCCCGTCTCTGGTAATCTCACCCTCACTTTCTCTCTCAGGCTTCCGTCTTTCAAGGCATCCCTTTGTCTCTGATTCTCATTCTCTAATTTGAGACAGCTCTTTCCCTCCCTTATCTTCCCCTACGGTTTCAAAGTTTGCTACGTGATCACGAGGCCAACACTCCCCATCCTCTTTCAGGTATTGCATCAGTGTATATTTAACATGGGGAGTAATATCAGATCGGGTCATCTTGTAAATGGTAGAGGAATTTAAATGTGAAGGAATGCATGAGGAAGACTCTCCAATATCCCCTGATCAGCTAGTGAACAAACCACCCTATGTCCTCCACACACACACACACACACACACACACAGTTCAGACCGTTTTTTGTAGTGCCCTGTTTCCCACTGTTACGCTCGAATTACTTTGACCCATGTGTTCTGCCTCATATGTGTGTGTATCACCATTTAGAGGTCAGTGTGTGTGTGTGTGTGTGTACCAGTGACCATGGTAAGCTACGCAGGGCTGCTCATCAGCTCAACAGCTGTTACACATGTATCCAACTCAACTATTATAACAGCGCCATATGGGCGGGAGTAATCCTCCATAAACCATTCTCCCCTTCTTCTATTTCCTCCTTTGTCCCGTCTCTGTTGCTTGATCTTCTTATCCCGCTGTGGATACTCACATGTGTAGTGCAGCAGTTCTCACTGCTAATTATTCTACATTCCTATTGTAGGCAGAGATAGTTATGAGACAGATACAGAGAAGACATGTAAAATCTTCATTTTCCACTGTGATGACAGGAAGCACAGCCATCTGCAACCCCCCCCCCACACAGACGTAATAGAGTATATGTGTGTCTATGTACACTATGTATGTATTACAGCTGCCACAGACATATCTCCTCCTTCTCTCCCCCCCCCCTCCCCTCCTCTCCTCCCTACGGTACATTTCAGTGTTGCTAGCCAGCGCCACTCCAGCATATGTCCCATTAGGCCTGAAAGGCAAAACGGAACAGTTCTGTCTGTGATTCGTCCCGCGGGGGTCCTGTCCGAGCGTCGCGCTGGAGCGCCTCTTCCTTCTGATCGCGCAGCGCGGCGGTTTGTGGTTTACCCGAAATGGTGGAGTAATTATTGTTTTTGTGTTACGGGGGAAAAACGGGAGTCGCTGAAGAGAGCCATGTTCCCCCCGCGCTGTGATAGTTTGATTACAGTGCTGCTGGCTGCGGCATGCCGACGCACACAGGGGGGAGGGAGGAGGAGGACACACACACACACTCACAGCTAGGTGCTTGGAGCACACAAGCATGCATACGCCCAGGGAGAAATTGAGACTACACTCACAGGCAGGGGAAGCTGGGAGCGCTGTTGGCGGTGAGAGGCAGCCGCTCTCTCTGTTTACCTGTTTCAGGCCCTTCAGGTGTCCGTATCACGGAGATGTGATTCCACCGCGGCACCTACTCATACTTGTGATTGTGCAGCCACTTTAAGCCATTTACATCAGATGGCAGATCAGTCTTCAGCTTTTACCTGCCCATTACCTCATCCCGACACTACCTCCCTGCTCTCCTGGCGAAACAGAAGCGGCAGGAGAAGGAGTTGGAAAGAGGGAGCAAAGTGTCTTTGCAATCAGGACTACGTGTCCAAGGCCTTAAGACCCAATCCGAGATTTTCTTTAAAGGGGCGTCTGTTTTTTGACACGTGCAGTTCAGTTAACCCATCTCGTGGATTATAAGTAAGCCTTTGACAACAGTAGATCTCTCGAGGAGATTGGAAATCTCCTTTCAAAAGACATCACAGGTGTGCATGCACCTTTTTATAATTTGCTCACTCAAATGAGGAACCTGGAAATCTGTGAAACTCCTTGTATTGATGTGTGGAGATAAGTGAGCTGCATAGCTGGACCTGCATCTTCGCCAATGAAAACATCACATTGTGTGTTGAAGATCATTAAGGGAAAATAACATAAATGACAGGATGTGCTTATACAGCTAAAAACTGTACCTGATCCGGTTGCATCCAAAATAACGGCCACTCGGAAAACACGTTGTTCTTCTGCTATCAACATTTTGGAAAAAAAAAGCTTAAAAATGTGGCCAGAGCTCCTTCCCTCTGCTCATATTTGTGGTTTCTGTATACTACCGGTGATACACTTTAGAGCTAGATTCCTTCTCTCTCCTCTTCACTTCCTCTGCTCATCCTCTCACATCGTTCCTCTCAAACTGTCAGTCAGTCCATCACACGCAAGTCTTTGTGCGTTGTTTTTGGCAGAACGCTATTCATTGCAACCATCTGTCTCCTACTTCTCTCTCTCTCTCTCTCTCTCTCCCTCTCTCTTGTCATCCTTGCCAAAGCCACCCATCGGAGGAGCTTTTTTCTGCTTCTCCCTTTAAAATCCTGGAAACCTTGTGAAGTCGTATGGCACTTTGCCGACGGGCGCGCATAGAGAGTTGTGTGCGTTGGTTGATGCGTGTGTTGGTGCGTTTGGATTGTTGAGGGGGTTGACGTGGGGAGAAAAAGTGAGAGAACATCATCTTTCAAATGAAAGGCCAAGGCCAGCTGTTGTGCGAGTTCAGTGGACCGTCCTCCTGACTTGGTTCTTGTCTTTGAGTCCACAAGACAGTGTGTTACCGTCTGTGTATGTGTGATCCACATGTACTGCATGAATGTGTGTATATGAGCCTGAATGCATATGATTCTGAGAAATGATTATTATTACGGCGTGATTCAGACGTCTTGGACAGAGTGGTGCTGTCCTGATATCAGTTGCACCCAGTCCACAGAAAGACGTGCAGAAGGTGCTCATGTTGTCTTCTACCGCCCCCCCGCCCCCCCACCCTCTCCCATTGCCTTCCTACTCCTTTCCCTCCATTCGCCCCTTGTCTCCCTCCTCCTTCATCAGCAGGTCCAGGGCCAACTCCCTCCGCTGATGATTCCCGTCTTCCCTCCGGACCAGCGGACTCTGGCGGCGGCGGCGGCCCAGCAGGGCTTCCTCATGCCCCCTGGCTTCAGCTACAAGCCCGGCTGCAGTGAGTAACGCGCACACAAACACACACACACGCAGAGGTGCAACTTTCGTACCTCTCGTGTGCCATGTTCTCACTGTTTTTCACCAGGCAAGGTACAGCTTCACCGTGTTCCCACACAAGGAGTCGGGCTGTTTCCCAAAAAGACGAGCTCGCCCCTACGACAACATCTCTCTCTTAATAGAAAAACCAGTCCAAATACACCCTTCCTGTTTACACTCTGTCCCTCTCTCTCTCTCTCTCGCTCGGTCCTTTTGGCTCCATCCTTTTGTCTTGTCTATTTTTTGATGTATAAAAGCAACAAAATACAGGCGTCCTGCGGTACATGTTTTTTTTTGGGCTATCACGCTCCGGCTGTGTTGCAATGTGTTGTTTACCGTGATAGAGAGAGGAGAAAGAGACAGAGAGAGAGAGAGAGAAAAACAGGGGCGGGTGCTTGCCAGGGGATGCTGGGAATACATGAGCGATGGGGGGGGGGTTAGCATAGGGGGTGGGGATGGGGGGGTGGGGGAGGTGGTAATGTGACCTGCCCCAGGTTCTCCTCACATTAACACGGGAAGCAGCCAGAATGCGTTTCCAACACGGCCCACACACACACATAGACACAAACGTCCAGGCCGCCAGAGAATGCTTTGTGATATCACAAACACACACCAAAAAAAAATGACTTAGGCCCAGAAATGCAGGCCGTGCACGCTCAGGGCCCCCCCCCTCCCCCGCCTCCCTCTCCCCACACCCTAACTCCCTTAGAGTTTCACAGCTTCCCAAACAAGTCCATTCCATTTTAATTAGTGCCATCTTCACCCACGCCCACTGCCCACGTAAATACCCCGTCAAGTGGTGGGCTCGTCTTTTCACTGCCTCCGCCAGCTCCAACCGGACTCGCCAGGCCGAGCCGCCCCTGAGAACACTCCCTGGCAAACTTTCGAAGTTGTCGCGAGTCGATCCAGCTTGGTGCTGCGGCTCTGAAGAAAGACATGTGTGGCATTGTGCGCTGACATATTCTCCCCGGGAGATGTGAATAGATTTCGGCCGCGCGTCGTTGATTTTCCCGCGCACTCCGTCAGCACTTGTCGGAGGGTCGCCGTCCAGGCTGGTGACCCAACGTGTTCAAGATAACCACTTCGCTTTTGCAAGGGGTTTTTAAGAATCTGTTATAGAGGTTTAAAATGTAAATTAGCTGCAAAGAGTAATGCATTTCCAGATGCCGTGCAGAACGGAGACCGAAGGAATACTGGTCTGCCTCCCGCTTCCCTCGATCTGCCTCTCGTCTGTTCGTCAGAGAGACATTTCATCTCCGTCCCAGCCAAGAGCAACATATTTGCTTTCCTCCGTCCTTCTCGCTTTTGTTAAAGCGACCCCCAAGAGGAGCATAAATATCCATCCAGCTCATGTTTGTCCAGGGAGCGAGGAGAAAAGAGCCATCCCCTAGAATACACAGTCCTGAAATAATTGTTTAATCCCCTCCTGCCCTCCTTCTCCCCTGGAGAAAACAATGCCTCAGCATCGCTTTTTATTTCTGACTTTTTCTATTTTTTTTTTCTGGGAAGAAAGGTCTCGGCTCATGCCAAATGCACGCGCGCGCGCACATTGGTACGGGCACATGCGCCGTCCTGATACGAACGAAGAGGCCGGACGCCGCGAGGTTCGGGTCAGAAATGCGAGGTCGAGCCCTGAGAGCATTCCAGAGGTCCTCGTGGGGACTCCAGGGTGAACGCCTGACCTCCGCGCGCCGGCTTTTGGTTGGTGGGCCAAGTCCGAGTGTTAAGACCGGTATTCCACACCCTCCGTCTCCTCCTCCCCTCATCTCTGACATTTCTCCCCCCTCGTTTCCTTTCTCTCTCCTCCAAGTAATTACGCCCTATCTGCACCTGGTCACTAATAAACCCCACTCGTCCTTTCCTCTGTCCCCTTCTCCCTGCACTCCTGTCATCTCCTCCGCCCCGCTCGTCCATCTATCTCTTGATTTATCAATCCTGACAGAGGGAGGGGAGAGGGGGGGTTATATAGAGTGGAGAGTAACTTGTGAAGAAAGAAAGATGACAAGAAGAACGACAAGACACGAGAAAAAAGGGTGAGACGGGGCAAGAGAGCGAGACTGAAAGCCGCTCTGTACCAACAAAGCAGGAGAACAGACCGCTGAAAAGTGGGTGGGTGGGTGGGTGGGTGTGTTGGGGGTGGGGGGAGGAGAAAGAGCAGCAATCGGCAGTGGCGGCTCTTAATTATGGCACTGGGGCCTGCTTTATCAGAATCCCCTCACCTCACTGCTCTTTGTCAGGGGGTATTAAGGAGGACGACACACAATCAGGCTTTTCATTAACGCCCTACCGGCAGCCGACACAAAGGACGGGCTTTAACAGCTGCAGAGAGGGACTCAGGTGGCCTGAGGGGGTGTCGGGGGGGGGGGGGGGGTAAAAGGGGGAGGAGAGGGAGGAGAAAAACCCGAGGATGAGTGTTAAAGGGAGCAGAGATGGACAGAGGAATTAGCGGAGAAAGGGTAACACAGCAGGAAAGGGTGGGAGAAGAGAGGGATGCTACCGGGAGAAGAAAAGACGGAGAGATTGACGTCCTGGACCTGGAGAAGTGGATACCAGTGTGTTAACATGCACCAATCACTGACATGGTTTGGCAAATCTCTTCTTTTTTTCTTTGTGTGGTTCACCTCAGGCGACCCCTACCCTCTCCAGCTCATACCCACAACAATGGCCGCCGCTGCCGCCGCTGCTGCCACGCCAGGCCTGGGACCCCTCCAGCTCCAGGTAAGACTATCTACAAAAGACCTCACGGAGCTCGATTGAGGGACCAAAATCTTCCAGTAAATTACAACTACAACCAGGAGTCTGTGACGGTCATCGACAAAGTTTTTTTTCTTCACTTGGGTGGTCCAATTAGGAGTAAATCCCCCCGACACACACCACACACTGGCCACGGAGCACAGCCTCGGGGGTGGGGGGATCACTGTTGCCCTCGGCAGTATCCAGACGGACTGTCGCAGCTGATGTGTGTGTGATTTTCATCTCTTTCCTCAGCACAGAGGCTTCTTTTCATGCGTGTGGGCTTCAAAGTTGTCGTGGCGATAGGAAATCGTGATTACACTTTTACGTCCTCTACTCCTAGCTGTCAAGTATAAATAATACATCTCAAGCCAACAAGTGGGAAAATGTGTTCATTGATAATAAAAAAAAGCAAATTAAACACTTTGAGCAAACAAACCCTGCCCAGATGTGCGTCCCGAGTTCAGCAGAGGGGTATGCTTGTTTTCTTTTCGTTACTCCGTCATAAATTTGGAGTCGCAAAAGAGATGATAGGGAGAGACGAAACCACAGAGAGGTAAACCAGAGAAAACAAAGTGAGGCAACATCTGCTATCCCGCTTACGGAGGATGAGTCCGACTTTGGTGCTTTTCCTGTCTGCATGTTTGGAATAAACGGACGATCGCTTGGACGTCCTCAACCCCTGTCAAACGCACGGCTAGACCTCACATGCATCCACTCGTATCAACGGGGGCCCCCTTTCCCAAGGGTTTACCGCCTGCCCCCCCTCCCCCCCTTCTCCCTTCTGAAGCACGGGGCTCTGCGCAAGCTGCTGCACAGGCTGCTGCACTGAGCCCTCATGTGTCCTTGACACGCATTGTCATGAAATAGGACTCGCACATGGACGTGTGAGCGAAACGGCTGCATTGACGCACGCGTTTTCCTGCACACCTTTTTTCACCCACTGTTCAATTCGAAGGGGAATGACGAAGAAATCTGTGTTTAAAGGTTAGGCAGAGGACATGCAATACTCATGCACCTGTCAGCCAAACAAGCTGCCCCAGATGCTGGATACTGCAGGGAGAATAGAATAGCTGTATGATTCTATGATGGAGAACGGGCCACGCTGTCATTACTGATTTCATTATTACTCCTGCTTGTGTGTGTGTCTGTGTGTGTGTGAGCACATTTGTGTGTTTAGCCTGAGAATATTGTCCTCTGCTCTGTTATCACTGCTTCAATCTAGTCGTCCATATGCTCGACTCATGCAGACACACTCAATCTCCAGTTGAAAAAGCTTTGTCCACCTTGCAATTGGATTTTTTTTTTTTCCAACGGCTGACACAACAAGTGCAAATAAAAACATCTCACTAGCAGATTTCTTTCTTACAATCCTCTCAGACAAACACACACACACACAATGGCAGAGTGAGATTAAGGCTTGTCAGAAAGGAGCGGATTTGTCCGGGCTAACACAAGTACAGATGTCTCAATGTGGATGGATTTCCTTTGGGATCGTCCGTCATTTGATAAGAAAGTGTCTCTGTCGCCGAGACGAGACACGACAGTTAGCTCCAGCCTCGGGGTCGCCACGGCAACACAAGGGTTTGGCGGAGAGGACACAAGTGAACCCACTTAGCCGAGACACACACACACACACACACACAAATCGAGGTAGATAGGAAAAGATTTCCAGGTAGAGTACCAGCTGCATTCAGGAGTGCATGGAGACATGCTGAGAGACACTTTAACCACACACACACGCGTACATACATACATAGTCTGAACATAGTGTAATCACTTGTTCAGACCTAATGTTTGGTGTATATCCATGTTCCCAGCCACCTTTAACTACACTCACATGTTGAATTGTTAAGAATTACAAAAAAGTGGCTATAGTTTAAATCCAATATATATGTATATATAAATATCCTCCAAAATGAAACCACAGAAGAGTAAAGTAAAAAAAGGAAATAATCTGGTCCAGGTCATGACCTCCGGCGCCTCAGTACTTTCAACAGGCTTCAATAGACTCCCTGCTACAATGGTGCTAATATAGGCCGCCTGTTTTCTATACGCTGCTTACGCACCACTGACGCGGTACCATTTTGAAGCTCTGTTCCTCTTTGTCTTGGATTCTAAAAATTCCTCTTTCCTGTGAACAGAATTGACATTAAAGCAAAACATCTCTGCCCTAATAACACAGTGTACAAACTGTATGTATAGAAAGAAAAAAAAGATAGAGATTAAAACTTTCAACAGCATGATTTAAGTGCAGTTCTTAGGAGAAAAGTCATCTCTCAATGAGTTAAAGCTCTTTCAACGCATAAAACAGCCTCCGTAGGAACCAACACAGTAGCTCTTACAGTCAACGGGAGCTTAACACAGACGGTTTTCAAGGCAATGGAGGCTTTGGAGTGTACAAGGATGGCATTTAGCATCTTAATCTGGGGGATGAGTCTGACATTGTGCATTAGAGCATGTTAATCTGGCTCCCTATTGACCCTTGATATCGTTGATATTATCCACAAATTGACTCAGTAGGAAAGACAGAAGGCTGAAAAATGAAAAGAAAATGCACTTATCCTTGCAAGAGCGAGAGACTTCGGCAGCAAAGGTGAAAAGGCGGATGTGCCAGGGAGGTATTTAGAAGGATGATCAGTTAAAAGGATAAACAGAGAGATGGATGGAGGTAAGTGGAGAGAAATGTGGGTGAGAGATTAAATATGTGCTTGTGTGGTATAAAGAGGGTCAATGGCGCGGGTCAGGCATCATATGGAGAGGCAGATGTTAGAACATATTGTCCTGGATTACTACTGTACACCGGAGAGAGCGAGAGAGAGAGACGGACGCACAAACAACAGGCTGGAGGAGAGGAGGGGGAGAAGGGGTGACAGATGAAAGAAGGTAAATAAGAAATCAATCAATGAAAAAGAGCTCAGCTGAGCATTTTCTCCACCTCCTTGGAGCTGAAGGGAAATGCCGTTTTGTGATAACATCACGGGATCAATGTGTATCAATAGGCAGCAGGGATAGGCGACCATAACACTTCCAAAGCCATAATGACCAAACCAAAATGTATATGTGTGTCCGGCTTATTGGTGTAGAAGTCTATTTACTTTAAGTACTTTGTCTCCAACTTGTGAGGAAATTGTATAAAGAGAATATTTCCCTTGACACGTTGAAGTAATATAACTTTGCTTTCAGCAAACATAAACGAAAGAAGTGCATTTGTCGTTTCTGTTCTGAAGATATTTTCACTTGCGTAAAGCTGGCACAAAGAAAAAAATAACCCAAACACTTTTGTGTTTGTTGTTGAAGAAATTCCCTCAGATTCTCGTTGAGTTAGTGTTTGCCCTTGAGGCTGCGCCGTATATCTACAAGATAGGTAATCAATTGCATTTACACTTTAACACTCTATTCATCTTCCTTTCTCGTTCTTTCTCGTTGGTTTTATTTTATTTGTTGCTTAGTTCAATCATAACTACGAGAGGAAATAAATGCAGCAGTCGTTTAGACTTAATGTTCTGAGGACTTAAGTCTCTCCCTCACTGACGGCTCCTTCCTTTGTTTTTGGTCCTTCACCACCAAAGCACGCTGCAGTTCATAAAAAAAACACAACGGGTAGGACAGGAAGTGAGACGGACAGACGGACGGGAATCCCTTTGAGACCCATACAATCGTCCTCGGTGTCCATGTAAACAATAGAGCTCAGGCCGCTCTGCAGCGCTGCTAACTCTGACAACAAAGAACAGGCAGGCTGGTAATCTGACTAAAGCTGCAGATTATTGACCAAAGCACACACACACACATTGATCCAGCCCGACTAAGATCACACAAGAATGGACACACACTGTCAATACCACTAATACCAAACAGTCAGCCCCATGTTTTCCCCCAGAGGAGCACCAACAGTTACACATCGCCTCTTCACCTCTTGTCAATAGAGCTCAGGCATGCACATGCTCTCTCACACACACACACACACATGGCTTGGTTTTGTGTGGCAAGGCCACGGCTAGACGCACACACACACACACACACACACACACAAACACATGCAGATGTGTTGGGCTCATATTCTAGGATTAGGAAGAGAAAGATTGACGAGGACGCACATAAACAGCCAGCGAGTGACATTTCCGATTCCTCAGTCTCATCCTGCGTCTACGATTGCGTTCCCCCGGCCCTCACTCATTGTGTTGCTCTGTGTGTGTGTGTGTGTGTGTGTGTGTGTGTGTGTGTGTGTGTGTGTGCGTTCGCTCCTCCGGTCACCCCAGGGGGCTGTGTGCTGTCACTTCCTGTTTGTTGACATGGATGTCGTTGTGGCGACGCTCTGGGCCGCTCTGCTCTCTGTACTGTGTGTGCTGTCGGTGTGTGTGTGTGTCTGTGTGTGTGTGTGTGTGCGTGTGCCATTGCTCGCCGACCCATTGAGCGAGCTTTGAGTGACGGGAGCTGGCCTTGTAATGGAACTCAATTCACTCCGCAAATAAAGAGGCCTTTGAACCACTGGTCCGAATATGGCAAGACACACACACACACACCGCCTGTGGTCCACTCGCTAGGGGGTTTGGCTGGTAGGGAGGGGGGGAGAGAGGGGAGCAGCAGAGCATGAACGGCCTGCAATCTCCCCCCCCCCCCCCACCCCCTCCCCCACTCTTCTTCCAGGAGCCACAGTGCAGCTAATTGAAGAGAAATGAGCGAGCGGAGGCTGATCTGATCCCAGCGCGCCGCGTTCACGTAGCTCGCAGGAGCACGACGGAGCACGACGGATCCCCCGCTGATCCGCACATCAGCAGCAGATCCAGCACGCCGTGTCCACTGTACGCACCTGGATCATGGGTGTTCAAGACAGCGGCTCCAGCTTGCTTAGAACTCTACAGTCTGATATTTGGTTTTCCCTTTTGAGAAAAGGACAGCACTTATTTTTTTTTGGTCTTTTCTAAGAACAATTAACTACTTCTCTCAACGTTACATCAATGTAAAGCATTCAGTTACTTAGCAACCTAATTACATTTTTAAAAAATTGCGGAAGGGAAGTTCTTATTTGAGAGTGAAGTGTAACGTTTAGTGATTCAACAAAAGCAAGAAAAGGTAGAGAGCTGTGACTGAATACGTGCTGCTCTCTCACTATCGGGGTGTCGGCGAGTGAATATTGTTTTTGCCACATGTGAGTGACGGGCAGAAGGAGATTATTTCAAATTCAAATATGAGTTTATTCCAAAAAAAGTACTTCTTTGTGTGTGGTATGAGCGCTGCCAGTTTGACTGTCCCGTTGTTGTTTTTTCCCTTGCTTGTATAAAAAGAGATAAATGTCTTTATTTAAGATAGCAGATGAGCTAATGTGGCTGTCAAGAGAGATAGAGAGAGGTTCAAACAGACAGATAGAGAGAGGGAGAGAGCAGCGACAGCATCTCTTCCTTATCCATTTGCATAAACCAGCCTTTGTTTGACGCCGGTGGCCGGCAGCCAAGCTCCAACAGAAGGACGGAAGTTAAACTAAAAAAAAAAAAAAAAGGATGGTCCCCTTCCAGAAAAATCTTCCACCAGAAATAAATGATAACAATTATAACTATTCAGAAAAAAAAAAAACACAACACATCAGTTACTTCTCGCTAAACAACCCGTTCTGTTGCTCTTCAGAGGACGGAATAACAATTCTGAGAAAACAAAACGCCGTCTTAGAGATTTGTATTAGCCGACATGAAAGTAATTGAGCTTTGCAGGACAATTTTTTGAGGGGAAAGATAGAGAGACGGAAAGAAGTGTTTCTGAACATTGAAGCGCCTTCCAAATTGGGAATATTCGGCTGTGTCTGTTGCTGTGCAAATACTGGCCAGAGACTGTTTTGTGTGATACAGTAGTATTGCATAAATATCCCCGAGTATGTTCACACCAGCAGCTCGAGCCATAATGCTTTTATTTAATTTGAAATGAATTAAAAACATAAACAAAAATAGGGGAGAACCTGTTGTGTTTGGTTTCGCACAGCAATTATTTAATGGATTCGTCTTCATTTTAGAGCGTTTTAACGGTGTGTTTTTTTCACGTCTTATTGTCCGTACACAGAAAACAACGCATGGCCACGAGACACTTCCGACTCTCCCATTTGGCATGTGGCTCCACAAATTTCTCTGCCTTTTTTCTTTTTTTATCCTCCATCATCACTTTTCTTTTCACCTTGAACAGGGAGCCGTGCTCTCCGGCGTGACCTCGATAGCCGGGATGTTTTCCCTTTCTCCCACGATGCACCTGGAGGGGACTGGGCCATCTCTAGGCCTGTCAGAGAGGCTGTTAGCGCTTCTCCCATGGGGTGAGGGAGGGGGGTTGACAGTGGAGATGTCCCTCTCTATCTCTCTCTGTCACACAAACAGAGGCCGGGACACTAATGGCCTCTTCTTCCAGAGCTTTTTAGCCAGTCTTCTTTTTTGTCTGTGCGCTCTTGAGTATTCACTTATTCATGTTGCCCCTTTCTTCTCCTCTTTTTTTTTTTCCACCTCCTCCCCCACTCCACTCTTTTTCTTCTCTTGCCCCCCCCCCGTCTGTCCCCCTCTGTCTGTCTCTCTCACCTTGCAGCAGTTGTATGCAGCTCAGCTGGCGGCCATGCAGGTCTCCCCGGGGGCCAAGCAGCACGGAGGCGGCCTGCCACAGCAAGGCAACCTGGGCACACACTCCCCGCCCACCAACACACACTCCCAGAGCGAGAAGGGCCGCAGCTCCCCGCTACCAAACAAGACCAAGGTAAGGGTCATTGGTATACGCGCCTGTGTGTGTGTGTGTGTGTATGTGCTAGAAATGCCAGTGGGACAGCAGACTGCCTTTATGTCACTTTGAGTCCTGACGGTGTTACTTTCTTAAGATACGTGTTTTCTCACATTGAGTTTTATCACATCTCAAATATTACATTATATTTCTTGTGTTCAGAGAAAAGCAACCTCTCTGTTAAATTACCATTTCAAAACTTAATTCTAGCCAGAAGTGACTTTTGCAGTGAACCTGTATACATTTGGGCCTTTCTAGTATCACACTGAGACTGAGGAGTGAACGGCTGCCTGGACAAGCTTGTGTTTGGTGCATGATCTGTTTGAAAGTTGCATCCCGAGTTCTTCTTTTTTCTTATTTTTTCTTATTTTTTTCAATCAAACAAGTGTCAGAGCACCGGTCTACTGCTCACAGTAATGCACACCCTGGTACAACCTGGTCCCTAAAAAACTCCCAGCCACAGCACGACTTTATCCCAAACCCCCAGCCGTGTGGCGCTGGATTTGAGGAGGTTTTTCTGTTTGTGTCGTTTCCTCGGCTGGCTGCACAATATGGGCGAAGGGAAGTCTCGTGTCCATCCAAGTGGAATTCTATGAATATCTGGTTAGGATATCTGGACCACTGACCACCTCCCGCCCACACACACACACACACACACACACACACACACACACACACACACACACACTCACTCAGCAATCCACTGTCCACTCTTGGACCCCCCACAAGTGTAGTGATCATTGACGGAGACATTGGAAAATACAAGAGCAAGACAACACCATCAAAAAAACCCACAGAATGCTATACGAGTTGTCCGAACAACTCTTAAGTAAGTCTTCCCAAATGTTTGTATTGCTCTCTTTCCTCTCCTGGCCTTTCATCCCATCTCTCCTTTCCATTTGTCTCCTTTTTTGTTTTACTTTCTTGTCCTCCTCAACATGTTTTAATTTTTTTCTTGCAACTTCTCCATCTTTGTTCTTGACCCATGCCCTTCCCTGTGTCCACACACACACACACATACAAGCATCTCATGGCACAGATTAAAGCTCATGGTTGACCACGGAGCTTGCCCCCCCCAGGCGTCCACTCGTCTTATTACCATATATATGGAGTTGGGCTGACAGGCAAGTGCCGCGGCCTGTGGTGGAGGGTCCAGCTGGAGTGGCACACTGGGGTGTGGCCCCCGCATGGCCCCACCACGGACCCCGTGGAGCCAAACTGGCCAATTGACCGCAGCGCTGTTTTGGTGTCACTCACACTGTGCACTCGCACAAACTTTAGATAAGCGTTTCCTTGCATTTTTATAGATGTTCCTCCTTCTCTTTCTTCTTTGATTTCTTTCAGTCAGGCTTCGTTCTTACACTCTGTCTCTCTCTGGGCGGGTGACATGTATATTTCAGAGGTGTGCTCCCCCTGTGGGTTCCATCTCGGGTCTCTAGTCATTTAGAGACGCGCTGCCTGCCTCTGCTCACAGCTGTTTGGACTCAGGCGCTCACCGCTTAAGTGCTTTACCCTCGGGTGAGACACGGACACACACACACACACACACTCACACTCGCACACAGGTGTTGAAGGAGACACCGTGCCAACCAGCCCCTTCACACACACACACACACACATGCCCATGCACAAATCACTGCGGCACACATACATCAGGCTTTCTTATACGCAAGAGTGGCCCTTTAGATGTAGGCAGGCATGCATACAGAGCGACACAATCGAGAGATTCAAATGATGCATCATATGTCAGCAGTTCTGACATGCGTCCCACACACGCAGTGGCCAGAAGAACGGTGACTGTGTGCATTTACTCAACTAGTATGATGTACTTATGTCACCTTCTGTTCTTTTCAAAGGCAAATATTGGTCTCCTTAATCCTCTTCGTAATCTTTTAGTTTGTATATACATTTTATATTAAACTCATCTCATGAAACAATTTAACAGTAGATAATGTAGTTGCATAGTTAAGAGAAATGCCATGTTTGTGCATCAGGAATAATAAATCATTAACAGAATAAATAAAGGGCACCACTCCTAAAGGAATAATAGTACTTTTGCACCTTTAAGTATGTTCTACCTAACGTTAAAAGCGTGTAAGTAGCACTGCTACTTGTTTTTAAGTAAACTAACGGATATGAATATCGGTAATTGCCAGCGAGCCAAGTCTAATTAGCTCAAATAAAACATAATTCCAAACGGTTACGGTAAAGTCACGTCTGCTCCTCTGTTCCTACAAATACAAACTGGTAGAAGTTATTAAGTGCATTGGCGTACTTGAGGAGACAGTGTTTGAATTGGTGCCACGTAATGTATAAACCTGTCACTTCAGCCTCCTCTGTGTCGCCATTCTGGCTGAGAGAGTTAGATACGACAATATAATTAATATCCGAGCACTCGCTTCTAGGTGCAAGGGAAGGAAGGGAGGAGGAAGGACAGAGAGATGAGGAGGATGGAAAGGTCTATGCAGGATAAACAGTAGTGACACACACACACACACACACACTTGTCCTGTTAATTGAACCATCAGCCCCAGTGATAAGATGCAGAACCCTGGTGTCGCCTTCACATCCACTGAAGTGAAATACATTCCCATCACATTCACACACACATTATCTCTCCTTTGCCGCTTCCTCTCTGTCCCTCTGGCGCTCGTTGTCACTCTGCATGTTTTCGGTCCCAAAGCTGGAGACTGTTTCATCAGCCAAGAGAGACACAAAAGCAATTGTATTAATTTGAGAATCCAAGGCTTTCAGAGGCTTTAGGGGCCTCTCTCTCTCTCACACACACACACACACGCACATATACACACAGATTTAGAGCTTGCTGAACAATGTCTCGGACTGAAAAACACACTCGCACACACGCACACACACACATAAAAACAAGTCAGTCCAAGCCTCTGAGCTCCACTGTCTAAACTAATTCCCCCACACTGGCATAATGCAGGTTGGCCACCTTCCCACCATAGGATTTGGCTTGGCGCAGAGAGGAAACTCCCCCCATTCCACTGTACAAGAAGCAGAGGCATTATCTATTTGTAATAAATATTCAAGCGCGTTGTTTCGAGCCAAAGCCCACCATAATATGGGTCAGGATTGAGAAGATCCCTCTCAGTATTTCTCTCCTCCTTTCTCTCCTCTTCTTCTCCGGCCCATTGTCTCACTGAAGGCATCTTTGGGGGTCCTCCGTCTTTTTTAGAAAGACCCCCCTAATGAAGGACAATCCGGTTAGGACTCGTCGCACACACACACAAAGTGGTGTTCGCACACAGGCATAGGCACGTACACATGTAGGGGCTTAATTGGAAGGGCTTAATTGAGTTGTGAGGCGCTCATAAGGCTTAGTACGACTCAAGGCGTTGGAATGAGGGAGAGTCTACCTTAATGAGTGGATATACCACACACACACTCACACACACACACACACGCACAGATGCAGTGTCCCACTGTATGCTGGATTCTACTCTGCCTAAGCAGCAATTAGACTAATGACCAGAAAATACAGAAAAATCATGTCTCTAGTCTATGGTTGGAATAGGGCCAAACCCACAAAGCTAAAAGTTTACTTTGAATTAACTTTTTCATTAGATCTACATTTAGGAACAATTTAGACGTCATTGCTGTGCAACAAAACGCTATATAGTGATTTTCTACTTGGGGGCCCGTTAGGCCGCCCCGCACCCCGTGTTGTGTCGGCCTTTTGACTGTGGCGTTTTAATTACGCAGAGTGGTCTACATACGTCTGGCTCCTGGGCCATCTAATTCCTTCCTTCCTGTCACATGACCCGGCAAGGCTCTTCATGATTGGATAAGGTCGTTAGCGGGAGGGAGGGGGGGAGGGGGGTGCTGCCATGACAATTAACGCGATAACGGCCCCTGGCGTCGGATGCCGATTCATTTAGGGAGCCACGTTCTGTTACTTGTGTTGAGGTTATTTTCGTGTGCAGACATCCTCCGATTTAGACAAATAAACAAATTGAAAGATCTACATAGGGATCACACTACTGAAAAAATCGAAAGCAGTAAAGGTTTGGTCCCTGGGACTGTGTGTGTGTGTGTGTGTGTGTGTGTGTGTGTGTGTGTGTCTCAGAAAGTGCTGCCTGGCTGTTCACTCCCGTGTTAACAGCCGTGGCGGCCCCTTGTTTCTAATGGAGCACGTGCACATTGAAGTGGCGGCCTGTCTTCTGTTCCGTCAGATGTTTGAGACATCCTCATGTCTTTGGAGCCACAGCTGTAAAAGAGAGTCTCAAGAGAGAGGCCTCTGCTCATTGTAGATTTGAAGGTGTTTCTTTGCCTCAGGTGTGAATGTTGCTCTCACCACTGGCCTTGTTTGAAGCATGCCGAGAGCAGAATCCTAGTGCATGTGGAGTGTGAACACGCATGTGCATGAGTCGTCTGGCGCTCGCTGTGATAGGAAGTGACTTGTCTTTGCATGTAAATGTCAGTGGTGTGCACCAAAATTGATAAATATTCGCTGTTGTCCATTTGCTTTTTATTTCTTTGCTTGCGACAAGCCGCTCGGATACGGGCTGCGGCATGCACCTCGTCCTCCGTCCCACTCCCGTGCATGGGCCCACAGTTTCGTATGTTGCGTGTTGAAGCCCCCATTTTGCGTGTGGTCTCGTTGAGGGGGGGCCTCGCGCTCCCAATGTGCTACGGTGGTCACAGCAGGCGAAACTGTGCTGTTTTGGTTTTTGCAGGACAGTGAGGGTGCACAGCCACTGAACCTGTCGGCCAAGCCTAAGGCATCCGAGAGCAAGTCACCCAACTCCCCCCCAACTTCCCCACAGGTCGCTGCTGCTGCCGCTGCTGCCAAGCTGGGCCCCGCCGGCTCCGGGAAGCACAGCGTCACCCCCTCCAGTATCGGAGGTCCACCGAACAGAGTCAGCTCGATAGGTAAGGGGACTGAGGTATCCATCTCACGCGCACACTGGAACAATTAAAGGCTAAAGCAAAGCTACTGCCAAAAGTATGAAAATAACAAACCCTCATGGTTTCTTTAAGTGCAGAGACACTCGCACACATGGCGTATTAAAACGAAAACAGGCAAACACCTTGGGTACGCTGTGATGGAATGCAAGTTGTTGTGAGGACGTTCTCCTTAAAGGAGAACAGTAAATGCCTCGCTGGTGGTGGAGATGACAAGAACAGCCCTCCACTCGTAGAGTTGCCATTGTTGCTACAGCCAGTACCGTAATCATACCAGGCCAGATGCACATATACATGAAATATGACATAAATAAATCACCATTCTGCACTTTTAATCCATTTGTCACACAACACATAGTTTAAATATTACACATATGTAACAGCCTATAATTAGTGTGTTTGTGTTTTTCTCTCGCGTCGCTATTTGCCTCGGGGCTGCTTCATTGTTATGTGTTTATTAGTGACTGAAAGAGACAGAGACACGCGGGGAGTGAGGGGAAGCGGCGAAGTAGAGAGAGAGAGAGAGAGAGAGAGACGGGGATTAGCATTTTTTTTTTTTGGAGCGACGAAGCTGGGGAATAATAAAGAGAGGAGCGCATGACAGACAGGAGGTATCACCAATGAGATTAGACAAGCCTCTTACATGAGCCAGGACAGCGCAAACACCCGGCATTAATGACACAATGACAGCACACACACTCAAACGCACACAAAGCCTCACACACACACACACACACACACTCACAATCCCTCCTCCTCCTCCTCCTATGCAATAGGCAGTTAGTCATTTTTTTCTGACTTCTTGGCTAATCTCACTGTTTTTCAACAAATCGGCGGATTTAATATCAGATTAGTGGATTTGCGGTCCCAGATGTTTTTTGTTCAGAAAAATGGATTACAATGTTTAAAGTTTGTGTGTGATCCCCGCTGAATTAGTTTGTGCGTGGGGACCAGTGTGTCGCAAATCCCAGTTAGGTTGCAGCTCGCGGTCCCATCTGTTGAGTTTAGCCGGTGACCAGCGCGTTTGTTATTGCAGCTCATAGTCGCATTAGGATTCCTGTTACAAGTTCAGAGGGGGGAGAAGGGGCAGACCAATTGGAAAAGAGTCCAGAGGCGGTCGTTTTGATGTGGGAGTGCATGTGTGTGTGTATGTGTGCGCTCGTGTGGGCGGGTACAGATTATCAATGTGGGTTCACCTTATTTAGATTCAGACAGGAACAAATCAACAGACACACATTCAGTAGATTGAGAGGAAATTACAATTTCTCTTTAGATTTAAGCAATAAGAGTTGTTTTTTTAATGTTAAGGAACACCCAGGAGGGCCAATGGGAGCTTTGATTGACAGTGGTAGAATGTAACTAAACATATTTCATTCAATGTAGTCCTTGAGCATCTGCATCTTTAATCCGGTTTAAACTTCTGCTTCCAGCTTTAAGAGCGAAACATTTCACATTTACCTACATTTCCTCTACCCGTCCGATTGAGGTTATGATTTAACGGTACAAACGATCAATCTTTAACCACATATTGTTTACGTTTCTTTTAAGGTATCTGGGTCATATCTGCAGGTATAAAGATGGCTCCATTGGGCTCATTTTCAGTAACTGCTCCCCCCTGACCTCCCTCCCCAGTTTTTTTGGGGGGGGGGTATTGCTCTCACAACATTTGTCAGAGGGAAAGAGAGTCAGTTGAATCGAGACTCGCACACACCTTCATGAACGCTCCCTTACCTCTCTTTCAACATCAGATTAAAACAGACCACCCCCCCTCTCACAACCCCTCGCTCACATCCTGATTTCCCCGGTTATGACTTCTGAAAGAGTTCACAGCTCTGTCATTACCAATCTGAAGCTGGTAATCTGGCCTGAGATGGCTTTAGCGGTGCGGATTAGCGCTGATAAAGGCCCCTTAAGCCCGCCTGGGCTCTTTGTTAAGAGCCAACGCCACTGATAGATAGAGGCGACAGCGGCGCACACCACCCTGAAAACACACGGCCGGAGCAGATGCCTCATCCACGGCTAAGCTGCGGAAATAATACAAATAATAGAGCGGCGAGATGTGATCTTTGTGAGGTGGCAGGGCAGATGCTCTCAACTGGGGAAATGAGCAGGACTTCTTAGTAACAGTCATAAGAGTCATGTGGCCACCTCTTCAGAGTGGAAATGCAAGGGCTCAGATTAAAAGAGGTGTGTGTGTGTGTGTGTGTGTGTGTGTGTGTGTGTGTGTGTGTGTGTGTGTGTGTGTGTGTGTGTGTGTGTGCTGAAAGGTGGGAGTTATGATGGGATTACGTGAGGGGTTGAAGTTGTGAGCTAGGGCCCGTGTGTGTTGTTGTTTGTTCCCGTTGTATGTGTGTTTGTGTCAGAGCAGGTGGAGGAGGTGGAGGACACGCTTGAAGGCTAGCTAGGGGCGCACACAGTGACTCACATATGACCAGCTCGACAGTCAAGTGGTCATGTGTGTGAGAGTGACACGCACGCACACACACACACACACGCACACACACATGCCCCAGCAAACTCCCCTCATCAAGTGTATGTTAATATCTTTACCTCATGGTTCAAGGGAAGATTTATTCTGGATGAAAAACCTCCTGTCGGGTTTAAAGCATAAACACGGACACAAACACTCTTTCATTTCTATTGCAAAAAGCTCTGTTATTCTCTTGCTTTTTTAACCACACTTTACGCTGAAATATGGTAGCGAAAGACCCTCGCCTTCAATCACGCAAACAACTTCCGACTATGCAAAACCCAATTAATCGCCCGCCCCCGTCTCTCTGTGTCCCTGTCTTCGTCTCAGCAGACTTGTTGTCCACGCTGTCCACGACCGCCTATCTGAACGACCACGAGGCTGTGAGCAAGGCCTTCGCAGAGGCCAGGCAGATGAAGGAGCAGCTGAAGAGAGAGCAGCAGGTCCTGGACGCCAAGGTCGCCGCCGTCAGCAACCTGAGCCTAAACAATGGACGCTCGGACAAGGTAAATCACCGTGCACCCACTAGTATGTTTGCTCGTGGCATGGTGGGCTGTAACCTTGGCAACGGGAGGAAAGGTCAGACAACTGGCAAAGGATTAAAAATCAAGATTTAAAATAATTGTATTGATTTGTTACATAGCAGATTTAAAGTCTGGGTTAGTCCTTTATTAGTCGATGCACTACAAATGTTTTACGATACACAGACGGGAAGTTTTTCATCCTCTGACTCAAACACTGACTCTGCTCCACCAAAGAAACTGACCGAACATCTTTGCCATTTCCTTAACACCCAACTCTTGGGCACCGGCATCAATCTGCTATCAAAACTGCAAACTGAAACTAAATAAAATAAAACCAAAACATATTGATACAAAAGAAACTTTTTTTTTTTTTTTTTTTTTACAAAAAGGTCAAATGTAACGTTGACTTGGATATTTATAAATTTCCTTCTTGCATCTGTTCAAATACTCATTTTGATATTATTATTTCTATGCCAAAGGACTCCCACTCTTCAGTAGCATCACAAAATCTAGAGAGGCAATTCATGTACTATCTAAAAAAAAAAAGCACCGCTGATTCAAATTCATAAACTATCCCAATAAGGCAATATGCAAAGAAAATTAAACGATCCCAAGCCACCGCGTCTCATTGTTCGTGTGTAATAATTTGTCTTGCCATATGCCATCGCTACATGCACTATGTAGGAGGTAAATCGGTGTACAATGCGCTCTCTGAAATGTGTTGAAGCTAAACAGGGCCAGATAAGGTAAAACCAGAGGCGTCTCAAAGGGTAATGAGCGTGTCTGTGAGGCGCACTACGGGGCTTCTTGTGTGTTTGAGTGTGTTGGTGTGTGTGTGTGTGGCAGAGCGCAGCGTTGGGGAGATGGTAATGTGAAGTGACGGCGCCGGCTCCTCGGCAGCGTGGCTAAATTGTGGTTATTTGTTAAACACATTGGGAGTCAGCTGGTGCACGCGCTTGCACGCACGCGCATAATCACACACACACACACACACTTACGGAGCAACAGTGCGCTTGAAGCATCTGCACCGCTGACATTCAACATCTCTATCTTTTTTTTTCTTCTTTCTTTTTTTATCTCTCTCGTCCGATTTGAACCAGTCAATATGGTTTACGTATTCAACCCACTATTTTCTATACATTTAGTGAGATAGTAATATACTGTCCATCCGTGCAGAATTAGATCTGCACAAGAGAATAAACTGGTACGGTGGGAATATCAGGAAATGTTTTACAGCTTTATGTGCGTTGCACTGAAGGAAGGAATTTAGTAGTAATATTTCACTGCAATGGGATAGTAAATACAAGAGATAATTTTATGATGTTTTTTTTGTTCTTTCTTGTTAAATTGGTTGCTTTTATGGAATAATTCAGAGAAATTAGGGGGTAGAGGTTTTTCCTGTTATTGTGACTTTTTATAATGGTAGAAATTAAGAATTTTGTCAGTAATATATTTTTCACAGAAAATTTTTAAGTTCTTTTCCAAGAATAAGACGAGGATAAGATATTTATATAGTTTTTGATGTTAAATAATTGTTTCTACGCCTTTTTTTTGTGCAAAAAGAAAAAAAGAAAAGATTACTTTTTTCTGAGACGAAAGTGAATCTTTCTCTGCTTCCAAAACCAACGCGCTCCATGCCGACTCCCGCTTCCTCGGCCCTTTGGCTTTGTGCTGTGCGAGTGTGAAGCCGGCGAGCTCTTGGCATCCGGATACAACGGAGTCATCTGTGACACACTCGGAGGATTAGTTTTGTCGCTACTTTGTGTCTCGGCTGCAGTGTCAGCCATTCAATCCACTTTTCTCATGTACTGTGCCGGGGCTTAATGTCAGACTAGGCTGTCATACACTCTGTCTCCCGGTTCATCTCCATCTCTCACACACACACACACAGCAGAAAGCCCTTTGTAACGCCACATTGAAGAGAGGAACCGTAAAGTGTGAAACACATTTTTCGCTCCTCTTTTCCTCGAAATAGGTTTGAATGAGGCTGATCACTTGTGTGAAATGAGGAAAATTCCATTCTCGTTTGCATACAAAATACCTAAATCTGGCCACTGATTGTTAACTTATAAAAACATAATGAATTCATAATAAAACTCTTTTTTTTTTAATTACTTGCAAATGGACCAAACCAAAAACATTTACGCGGCTTGCCTGTGCTTTCCATTCTCACCTACCTGTCTTCTTAGCCATATTTATCCCTTTCGTGGGGGGGTGGGGGGGGGGGGAATTATCTCTAACAATTAAACCCTGCTGGACAAAAACGGAGAAAATGCATTTCATTATCATTCTGCCCTCGTCCCATCGCGCCAGCCGGCTCGCCAGGGTCACATGTAAGTGGAGAGGCACACTTTTTGGAAGGTTGTTTTAGAAGACGACAGCGTTTTGGGTACGGCTCCTGATCGCGTAATTAAACCGTAAAGCGCTGGTGAACTACGGTATGTGTGTGTGTGTGTGTGTGAGCACGAGTGTGTGTGTGCACTTCTAGCACAGAGTGTGCCGGCTGCTTGCATTACGCATGTAAATGCTCAGTAAATCAGCCTTTTATTGGTTGTAATAAATACCCAGGGGGCCGTGCGGCGTGGCCTCGCTCTCGTCCGCGCTGCACTCTCCCGCTCTCTCTCTCTCTAATGCGTCGACCCTCGGGGGCCTTTGTGAGAGAGAGAGGCAAGCCGCTGCACTCCACTCTCGCAGGTGGCTGCCAGGAGTCCACTCACACACACACACACACACACACACACACAAAATATACAGTATACACACAAAACGGTAAACATCCAAATAGGACTAAATGTAATCAGCATTCTTTCACATGCAAACATACACACAGATGTGTGTTCAAGCATGCAGGCGTACAGCACTCAACTAACAATTTGCTGCTGACATTTACCCAAATTTACACTGGACCAAAACACAAACTGCGTGTTTGCTGAAGCGACTGCCCTCGTCAGCTTTATCTGTAAAAAAAAAAGGAATCATTATCAACGGTTTTATTTCCGATCAAAGGGGATCTGCTTCCGTCGTTCAGCTGTTACCTCTGTGAAGGAGTTCATGTCTTCAAAACTGATTTCTTTTTTTTTCTCCAACTTAAAAAGTCATTTGATGCTTCAAAAACAGGAATTTGTGACATGAAACAATTGCTCCTTTTAACCATGTGATAAATAATATCAGAGATTAAAAAAAAAATAAAGAACCAGAAATCTATTCAAAAGGACTTCGAAGAACGTTTACTGGTAGATGCACATTTTCCTGCATGCGTGCGCGTTGGTTTCACTCATTCATGTATTCACGCTCATCGACTCACTGACTGACCGGCTGCGACTGTGAATTGTTTGTGTTGTTTAGGACAAGGCAGCCTTGGAGAGTCTGAGTCAACAGCTGAAGCAACAGGCAGAGGACAAGTTCAGCCACGCCATGCTGGACTTCACCATGAGCGGAGACTCTGACGGTAGGACACACACACACACACACACACACACACATAGTGTGGCCATTTAGGCGACAAAAAGCGACATTTTTCCTAATTGCTATAAAAAAAGTATTGAAAAATGACATTTTTCTTCATTTTAGGAGATTCATTTTCATACATTTCACCAGTTTAAAGGAAAATACTTTTTGTATGATTTGATTTAGTTTGTTTTTAAACATATTTTGCTTTATCGAAAAAAATTAAAAACCCTCAAAATATTTGTATTTCTCTCTGCCTCTACCTACTCCTTCCCCACCCTCAGGCTCCCCCAGCGTGTCAGACTCCAGAATATTTCGGGAGGCTCGGGGTCGTGGCAGCGCAGAGCCGCACATCAAGCGGCCGATGAACGCCTTCATGGTTTGGGCCAAGGACGAGAGGAGAAAGATCCTGCAGGCCTTCCCCGACATGCACAACTCCAACATCAGCAAGATCCTCGGTAAAACACACACACACACACACACACACACACACACACACACACACACATGCAGTCTGCTTTGATTGACAGGAGCCTTTCCCCTCCCCACCTCTGTCACCTAAACCAGGCGAAAGGGAGCGACGCATGTACGGCGGCTCCTATTTCCCACTTTCACAAGCGCACACACTGTGATTTCATTACACGCGGCGGCATTGTGTAAGCGGCTGTTAATGAACGACTGGGGAGCGCGCGGCTCCGACAAATGATGATATAATTCATTATGCATTAAACAAGCAGCGCAAGGCCGCCTGACATTTCCCCCGTACCGCCGGGATCAGCCCTGACATTTTAAAGAGCTCCTAAGCGTTTTATAACGCAGGGAAATGTGGTTTTAATAAGCCCTCTCTCTCTCTCTCTCTCTCTCTCTCTCTCTCTGCCGCCCGCCCCCCTCCCCCTCTGCCCCCCCCCTCTCGATTGCTAACAGATCGCAGAACAGAGAGAGAAAGACAGAGAGCGAGAACAGCCAAGTGCTGACAGCTTTTACCCATTAAACCTACAGTAGTCGAGTGCAAATTCAGACCAGATATGAAACACACAGGGGAAAGACTTACTCAAGATTACACACACACACACACACACACACTCAGTGAACTGATACTACAAATCTGCAGAAACTGAGCTGAGAGCGATGACAGCAGGTTAAGTGAAGTCCTCATTAGTTCAGATAAGGACGTGTCGTCCACAGCGCTTCTCCTCATTAACCTGTGTGGGCTTCAGATTGTGGTTGTGTGCATGTGCGGCGGTATATTCACAAGGGATGTAGGGTCACGGGGGCCACGCAGACATTTGTTCCTAACACAATGCGATTGATCTTAAAGCAGGCTTAATTCACACACTTCTTTCTGCTGATTGTTAGTGATTTCATTTCTATATAATGACCATAACGGCCGTTTTATTAATTGATTTGTTTTGCCATCAGTTGATTTTTTTTCACACTCTGGCAAAGTGAAACTGACCGCTCTCACCGTCACTAATGCGCCCCCCCCCCCCCCGTCCAGGCTCCCGCTGGAAAGCCATGACCAACCTGGAGAAGCAGCCGTACTACGAGGAGCAGGCTCGCCTCAGCAAGCAGCACCTGGAGAAATACCCTGACTACAAGTATAAGCCGCGGCCCAAACGCACCTGCCTGGTGGACGGCAAGAAGCTGCGCATCGGCGAGTACAAAGCCATCATGAGGTCCCGCAGGCAGGAAATGAGACAATACTTCAGTGTGGGGTAGGGGAACTGTTTAGGGGAACTGTTTTTGTATGATGAGTCATAAGATAGCAATTAGCTTTTTGTTTTTTTATATATATATACATATATATACTTTGGGGTAGTTTTAATATTCATCTTCTGAGTAGCTTTTGCTCTTTTACTTTATTTAGTTTTAACGGTTTTGTTTTGTTGGAACATGTGTCACGTCCCATGATGATAAAAACAAAAGAAGATTTATATATTTATGTGCTGTAAATGTGATATATCAACACCAACCAAGAGGTTTGACACAACATCTCTATTTTAGATTTTATAGGTTATGGATTTCCTTCTTAATTGGTTTTACTTCAGGTTTAATTGAACCCTCATTAAATCCCATCATTATTTAGTTGCCGTTTCCGTTCCCTTAATGAGCCAAGCTAACAAATGTAAATTCAAAGACAATGGTTCTCAACCTAATGTTAAATATGGAATTAGGGAAATAAAAAAAGCCGTACCTTTCCCAGACTTTCCTCTAATCGCTCTCGTGAATTACATCACGTTACCTCAACTCTGTGTGCTAAAAGGTGTTCAAAGAAAACAAACGCCTTCTGGCTGAACCGTGCGCAACAATTAGACGTATCCACCCGGTGTTGAGGGATCACACGTTCTCTGTACGAAACATGAAGCCACAGCCGGCAGCTAGTTATCTTATCGCAGCATCAAAGACCCGGAAACCCTCAGGGGCAGCACATGTGGTTACTTTCGCACACGTTAGCCGTCTAACGTAGTTTGAAACTGTCATGAACTAAAGCGCCTCTTCCTTGTGTGTTACAGGCAGCAGGGCCAGTTGCCCCTGTCCTCCGCAGGCGTGGTTTACCCAGGTACCCTCTCCATGGCAGGAATCCCCTCACCCCAAATGCCGTCAGAGCACTCAAGCATGTCCAGCAGCCCCGAGCCCAACGCCAACCACCACCAGAACCCCCACCTGGCTGGCCTGAAGGGGGACGAGCCCCGGATCAAGGAGGAGGAGCTGCGGCTGGACGACAGCAACGGCGACGCGTACGACGACTTCGACTACGAGGACGAAGAAGCAGATTACACCAGCGACAACGACAACCACATCACCCAATAGGGCGGCGTGACAGAAGCTTAATTTAGAAAGCCCCCCCCCAACCCCCCCACCCACCAATCAGGAAGAAAACTTTCTCTTTTTGCCAATTACCTTTGCATCCCGACCTCACAAACACACGCTACCGTCTCGCCCTCCTGACTAACGCGGACTCTTCTGACAGAGCCAAGACCCCCCCTCCAAGCCCCCCCTCCCACTGGAGTCCTGATACCAGCATTCTGATCATTCAACGGAAGCACAGGACCTGTCACTCACACTGACTGTTACACGAACTGGTGTCCGGGAGCACGAGACGACCAAGCCAAGCTTCTGACGCTCGCTGAGGAATATTCAAGTACTACTGCAGGTTGAGTGAGGAGACATCGAAATCACGCTCAAAAAGCAACCTTTTAGAACCGTTTGTGGAAAGAGGAGACATTTTCAAAAACGACAGACGGATCAGTGGACCTGTCAAAGGCTAACAGATGACACTTTAAGATGGCGGACCTGTTTATTAACAAGAGACACTTTAAAAAAACGAAAAAAAAAAAAAACAGCTTTTTTGTTCTTCGGTTCTATAATATTCTCACTCAGGTACACGGTGCCAATAAGTGGCTTGTGAATGTGATTTGTTGTTTTTGTGCTACAAGTTTGAATAATAATAGAAAAAAGAGACTTTTCTTTTTTCCCTCCTTTTGTTGTAAAGCAGACAGACATCAGACGTGTTTATTTTTAACAAAAACATATCTTTTCAAGCTCTCAGTGTGCCCCCGTGTTTTTTTGCGACTGCCCGCTTCCCGGGTTGGAACGGTCCAGCCAGGACTGACCAGCGCAGCGTGGACCGTCCCGCGTTGAGGGAGAGAGGGGGAGTCTCTGGCGTGCACTGTGCTGTGAGACAATCCGCCAGTCACCTTCTCGCTTCGTCCCTTTTATCCTAACCTCGTCTGGGGGCGAAACACCAGTACGACTCGGCAGTGTGTGTCGCCGTGTGCGTACAATCTCATTCCCAGTGCGAGGAAAAAGGCCCAAAACATCCAGGACACGGAAAGACGGGCTTACACTGCTGCTGTTTTTAATTGTACCACACACACACACACACACACACACACACACACCCACACACGTGTATACACACCCTCAGTGTTTTCCTGCTCCCTTCAATCAACATCGTCTTGCTGCCCTGAGTGGGCGGAGCTGAGCTGAAGCAGCCAGTCAGTGTTTCTGTTTGTATTAGAATACTGTATTTTATTATTTCTCTTCAAACTGCCTCTAGTCTAATAATATTATTAACAATAATTATAAGGATGGTCAGCGTTTCCTAAGTTTAGTAAGTTATGTACAGTATAATTTATTTTTCTCCTCTATATTGCGTTTTTATGACCATATGAAACTATGACAGTTGATGAAACATTATTCTATTTAGCTGTAGGTATTTAGATCTAAACACAAGTTGTCATTTTACCTTGCTTTGTTTTGCATTTGTTTGTTCCCTTTCCTTTTTTGATGCGTTTGTTTTGTATTAATCCTTGTGGCGGTAAGGTGGGCGGGGTTAGAACTCAACGCCGGCACTCCTCTGTCTGAAGACGCGACCTCGTCACGTCCAAACCCATTTCTAAAAAGCACTCAGACTCTGAGAAAAAGAAGAACATGTTTTTTTTTTCTTTAAATTGTTATTATTTTATTTGTAACGGTTATTATAATGTATAATGTGAAGTTTCCTCTGTTTTATTTTGCCTTTAACTTTCTTTTTTTTTTTTTCCCTGGAAATCAGTTTTATCATTTTTGGAAACTGTTTTCTGTGAACAAAGAGTCCCGTCCCTGTTTACTAGTTATGGCCGCCTCACCGAGACACAGTGGAACATCTTCGGCTTGGATCCACACGTATACATGCACAAACACAATCGCTAACACACACACAGGCATACATGTGTCAAATGAAGAGATTATCACGACAACCAAACGAATCCCATGCTGTCCCTTTTCTGTTTTCATAAAATCTAATATTCTAGATTTAAAATCCTGTACATATGCTTTGTTTGGTGTTTTTTTTTTTTTTTTTAATTATAGGAAAGCGGTGTTTACTGTGATCCACAAAGGTGTTCCTCTATTTATGTGTGTGTGTGAGACGGCCAAACGTATATACAGTATCTTAAAAGTCACTTCTCATCAGGAGCCCTTTGCTTTGTTTGAGCTCCACGCGACGCTGCAGGGGCCACGACTACTGTTCAGGTGTGCTGTCGCATGGTGATCTCCACAATCATTCTCGCTGTAGATGTTCGCTACACGCCACATAATGAGCCGGTGGGTCTTAATTTAGCTGTATAGTCACCCCTGTTTATCACGACATGGTTCAACCCGATGCTGGAGAGAGGGGGCTGTGTGTATCAACCCAATTTTAGGGTGTCAGGTGGGTCGGTGGGGGCATTAAGACGTCTGACCCCAAATCAAGACAATGAAAAGGATGATGATGATATTATTTAAGACAATCAAAGTCATGAGTGGAGCTCAAAACAAAGTAAGAATTATTACAAGTAAAACAAAAAATATCTTACTATCTCAACTTGAAAAATCAAGAAAGATAATTATGTAAATATAACATAGAGTTATAGATTTATATTTTGTTCATAACACAGTGTAATATAAGTTGTATATTTCTTTTTCTCTCCCTACTGTCTCTTTTATTGATGTTATCCATGCCACAGAAAAGCAGGAGTCGCAGTACTCACACAAAAAAAATAAAGAAAAATATCAAAGAAATAAGGAAAAACAGGAAAGGAGAAAAAAAAAGCCGTGGGCTGCCACCACCATCTGTTCTAAGTTCACTTTTTTTCAGTATTACTGCCAGACAAGGCTCTAATAAAGACAGCAATGTGTTGGGTAAAACTTGTGCTGGTCCTGGTCACTTCTTTCCTCCACACATACATTCACACAATGGTTTTACAGTTCCAACATATTCACATGGACATACAAATATACACTGCCGCGACCTTATTATGCAGAAATGTTAACGATGGAAAGGACAGCGAATGCTTCCCGCCTGTTTTTATAGTATTAATAAAACCAAGACGATAAAGAGTAGTTCATATTTAGTTAATGATTTAGATGAGTTAAATGGTCAAATTCATTTTATCAGATGTTTCTAATCTGATCTGATTTTGATTTTTTTTTTTTTAACGAGCTCGAGATTCTTGCTGTCCGTCACCCACGAACACAACGCGAGTCACCGCGGCGATGGCGCTGCCCGCGTGTCGCCGAACAATTCAATCGTCTCCATAACACGTGTTAATTATGCTAAGTCCACCTTCTTGCCCCTCCAATCAGAGGGCCAGCTGGTAGGCGTGGAGCCAAATCATGGCCCGCTAGCAACCTGATAACCTAATTAAGCACAACAAGGGGCATGGGCAGAGAGAGGAGGGGGAGGGGGGGTTGACTCAGTGATCAAATGTTTGCGTGTGCACACGTGTGCGGAAAACGAGGAAAGATTGCACGCTCCAACCGCCTCTAAAAAGCCGCCGGACGCCCGGGGTCCGTCGACATTTTGGAAGCAGATCTTTAATTGATGCTCGCTTAAGGATGTTCAGGATGTTCATGCCTTCACTTTCAAGGTTTTAAAACACAAAACCCCACTCAGTGCGTCCGTTAAAATGCTGTCCCCATCTGTGTCCGTATGCGCAGCAATCAACCCCCACAGCCCCATCCATCGCATTGTGCATAAAGACAGTTAAATGCACTCAGAGGAGAGGATTTTACGTGGTTTGCTAATTACCAAAGCTTCAGACACACACACAAACGCACACAGAAAAAAGCCCTTTTGATGCAATAAAGAGGCACGGCCGGGGCAGATCCACAACTCCTACGGTAAGTGAAGGACTTAGTTGTTCTCTGGGCGTTTTGAATTTTTCAGAGACGGCCTGGAGGTTTATGTGTGAATACTTGAGTAGCAAGAAAGGGGGATTGAGATTTTTTCTTTTTCCTGTATTGTCAGCGGAACACAACATGTTGGAGGAAGCAAACGGTGGCTAGACTCCGATTAAATGACGCGCACACACCCTAAGGTGCGTGTGGGAGTTAGCTCAGCTTAGACCACTGTTATTCACTGGCTATTGCCACACAATGGTTGAACCAAAAGGGAGAAAACTATTACTGTGGGCTCATTTTTACTGTATTTCGCTGTGCATATTGACAATATGATGTAATTCGGTCCAACGTTTTTGTCCAGATCTAACAAGAACTTATATGTTTGTCTAAACACTGCACATGCGTCTAGTCAACCGTGTGACTCTGAGGGCGGCCCTCTTTCTGCAGCGGCTCAGAGAAATACGCAGTTTTCGACCGTGGGTGTTTGGAAATTGAGTGAAAACGATGTCACATTAATGATTTAAAGTAGGTAATAGGATGTGCTGTGACGCTGAGCCGCAAGCTAAGCTGAGTTTAAGGCTCCGGCGTTAATGTATTCATGAGGAGGGGGGATTATACTGAGACAAGAGCAGCTCGAGAGCTGAGTGCAGCAGAGCAGCCGGGGCCAACAGGCCTGTTGGATATTATATATAACTGCATTTAGACGGCGGGACCAAACGTCTCACAATGCACGAAGACGGACTAAACACACGAATGCAGAATATTGTGGAAATGCAGATAGGAATTAAAGAGAAGTGAATATGATGTGATAATTGCATCTGACTGCATTCCAACATAATTGTTATTATTGTTGATTGCTCAAGGGAATTGGTGAAGCGTTGTAAGTTCATTTTGAAATTAGAATTAAGATAGAGACACAATATATCTGCAACAACAATATTAAACTGTCATGAATCCTGATGCCAAAAAATTTAAGATTTAAATAAGTTTTCAACTAAAGTAAATTATATTCTTAGATCAAACTTCTTATATTTATAGAATGAATTATTGTATCGTTTTAAAAAAACACTATAAAGGTAAAAAATAAATCTTACAATTAGATATTAATTCATATCCAAAATGAACATATAATTATAAATATGTGTTTATCAGGTGGCATTTTCTTATTCCTTTATTCTGGCAGCACAGCTAATCCTCTACCTCACACATTAATAGACACGCAACTGCAGCATCATTAGGAGAAAAAAGGTGATCGTAAAAGTCTCATAAAAATGATTTCACCACAGTACTTAAGCTGTGAAAATGTTAAAACATTTCATCAGTCATGCTTCATTCTAAATTGTGATAAAAAAGTGAGGGCCATTAATATTAGGTTGATGATGCATTAAGAGTACATAAAATAGTCTCATAGCAGAGAGTGCCGGCACTCAAACCATTAAAATAAAGCAACACAAGGCTGAGATGAAAAATAAAGTGTAGATATGCAAGCATATGGCACGTTAAAAATATATATAGATATAGATATCATCACATTTTTTATCATTTTGGCAGATGGCCGCCCTGTTACTTTGTTTTTTGTGCTGTCTGTAAGTTTTACACATGTATATGAATAATGTGTGACGGTTCACATGTAGCACATATGACATTATCACATGACAGCACTGCTCAGACCCTGTGTCTTAAACACAAACATGACAGATTACGCATGTATCTGGCATCTGTTGTTTCGGGGGGGAGGGGGGGTTGACTCGACAGGAGACGAGCCTCGACGTGATTGAGAGGGAAAAATGTGGGCCAATGACGGAGCGGCCATTAGCCTCATTAACGAGGTGTGACTTCCTCGTCGCCGCCCAAACTTCATGCACTTCCTCCGTCGGGTTTCAATGGGCAAAGTAATCAGCGTGACACGAGACAAACAATCACAAAGCGCCGTCAGTGTTTGAGCGACGGCCCTAATGTGACAGATCTGAGAGCGCTGGCGTGTGAGGGACAGGCGTGGCACGCAGCGGGACAGTGAGGGCCGCGGGGCTGATCCCCAATCAAGACTGGGAAACTGGCTCCAATCCCCGGACACGTCGCCCCGGCGCTCAGCCGCCACTCTCACACGAAACACTCACCGGCTTCAGCGGGAGCGGCGTGCAGCAGCTGGCCTACTTCCACCCTCTCTCTCCCGGTGCGTCTCCATCCCAAATGTATGGATCTGCTTGCCTTCATGCATCTGCACGTTCAGGCCATGCGCGTTCGTTTGCTTTCGGCGTGGTTATGTCAAAGGCGCATAACCACGTTGCGTCCTGTCTGTTGGGTTTAATTTTAACGTTCCTCTTTTGACCACTTTCTTCACCTTTAAACTCAACTGTCTTTAGAAACACCACATATATTTTGCAGGAAGTTTTTAAACGATAAGCACAGTTTTTGTCATTAATTACATTTTATTCGTCACTACAATGGTAAAAACATCGACATTGGGCACTTATGTAATACTCTCATCAAAAACAGGATTGTGATGAAACAAATTAGTTTTATGATCATCATCAGACGTTGATGTGTTGGTGGGCCGGTGACTCAAGAGCCACATAACTTTTTCACAGCAAACTTGATGTTGAAAAAACATGATGTTGTTTGATGAACAGCGGTACCAAAGCGAGATAAAGAAGCCTGTGGGCGCTTTAACGTCATCCCGTGAAATACATCTTTTTTTGAGACAAGAAGAAAAAAAAAAACTGTTATTTTCCTCTCCCCATCAACACCCTAATGCACACATGCAAATATTATGCTAATGGTATGTTAATTGATGGAGTAGCTGCAAAGCAGCCCTGCTGTTCAAATGACTGGTGAGAAAATAGGTGGGGTCAATCGCAAGCTGTAAAAGCAGCTCCAACACAAATAAACAAAACCCTCGGGGATTAACAGAACAAGGGCCAGTGATAAACGGATGAGAAGAGAGACAGGGAATACAACAGGCTGGAAGCGAGGGGACAAGGGAATCAGCTCAGGGATATGGAAATACGGAAAGCCGAGGGACAGGCGTGAGAGGAATAAGTGGGTGAAGAGCGGGAAGACGGGTTTATGAGGGAGACACAGGGATTAAAGGGGGACGTGGTTAAAAAGGCGACAAGAAATAGGACACACAGGTGAAAGAAATAAGTGAAGAGGGCTTAGCGAGGATATTAAAAAGCTGATTTAAAGGGAGACCAAGAGGGGACTGAGGTGAAGACAGGTTAAGCATATCAGCATGGAGGAAACGGGTGAGGGGAAGAGGCAAAACAATGTGGCTGAAGCAAGTTTTCTAGAGCAAAAGCAACATAAAATTGTCGTCGTCGTCGTCCTCATGGTGACCCGGTGTGAATATGTGATCTGGATCTGGATCCGGGGGCCACCTGTGGTGCAGGAAAATGACACTAACCCATAAAGTACGTGACACTTAATTGCATTGTAAGCACTATTTGTGATAAAAAAAAATTCCGTAACGTAAGAATCTTTAAAAACAGATTAAAAATATTAAACGAAAAGAACAGAAAAAACTGCAACGAATACAAATCGTGAATTAATCAATTAAATGGATACTTCTACACCTTGTGATAGACAAATAGCAACATGTTCACTGAGTCTAAATAAGAGTCATCGTTCACCGCCATGACGCGTGTCGTCGAAGAAAAAATAAGTTCGACATGCAAATCTAATTCTTGGATTATCCCGAGGCTTTCCAGGTGCTGCTTCTGTTTCCTACCATAACAAACCCTACATAGGATAAAATTGTTTGTCGAGCCTGACGCTTATCTCCCCTCTGTCTGTCGGCTCGGACCATTAGCGGTATGGCAAACACCGTGTAATTAACAATGCACTGAGAGATTCATAAAGTCTGTTTTCTACGCTCTCCGTAGCCCACGCTGCGCCATGTAATTGTTTAGAGTATTAAGAGTTGTGAAACATTACACCACGATCGTTTTCTTATGAATCTGTCTGGGGGCTTTACAGCGCCAGGCCCCTCCAGAGCCTCCGGTCCTCTCCTGCGTGTAGCGTAATGTGT